TACCTGCCCTTACCTTCGTTGCTTGCCCCATGTCCACCTCATTTATTTCTTCCTCCTTCCCCCCATGGGGCCAACAGCTCCGCTCCGCCTCTTGTCCACCTCTAAGACTTGACTCGAGCCTCAAGCGCGCGAGGGGCCTGCACCGGCCTCCTCCTCCTCGCCCTCGCCCTCCTCAGCCTCCATGTCGACTTCCTCCCTCATCATCAGCCGCAGTCGGTCTTGCTTGTCGACCTTGCCCGTGCAGCTCAACCCATGGTGCTCAGCAAATTTACTGATCGCAAGAAACAAGAGGCTTACAGATCGACTCTCGATGTCATCGCTCTCGGCCTCCTGCTCAAGCGCATCAGTCGCTGCTGCCCTTGGAGAGAAGGCGCTGCCCCTCCTCGCTGCCTTGTTCCCTTGCACCCGAGTCCAGCGCTGCTCGCCGAGGTACGCTCTGAGCTTTTCTTTCAACATGTTTCGCTTCGATCCCAGCGTCGGCGTGGCTGCCCAAGCTCCGAGCGTCATGAACTCCACGTTGCCCGGCGAGCAGAAGGTGTCATGCAGCTTCCCAACACTCTTGTCTAGCTCCAGAGAGATCGGCTTGCCAGCTAGCAGCTCCTCCTCTGATGTCTCCAAGAGCATCGTCGAGAGGTCGACCAAGACCTGTTGATCGACTGGCCCTGACGGCGACGCTGCTTCCATGGTGATCCTGTCGATGTCGCTGAGCTCCAGCCATCCAGCGCCTTGCTGCTGCCCTTGGGGCTCTTGGGCTTGCTCCTCGCTGCTCGGGCTCCTCTCCTCCTCATGCTGAGGCCCGTTGAGCTTGAACCCCACCGCTTCGAGCTTGACTTCCAGGATCCCTTCCAAGTAAAAGGGCATGTCGTCCATCAGCGTCGAGCGTCTGCCTTGGTCGCCAGGGAGAGAGCTATCGAGCTTCCGTCCCAGCTGAGCGTGTCACGATCCTCCTCGACCTCGACGCTGACCGGCGTCACGCCTATCCTTCTTGCTAACTCCAACATGGCTCGCTTGACTCTCGTGATCGATGTGTTACCTCCTCCGCACAGCGCTTCCATCTCCTTCCTCGAGAAGCGGCCTGTGCTCATGCTTGACCTCGACTTGATCTGCACTCTGAAGCTGCTGCGCCCCGCATGATCTCTCTCGCGAAGTGCCCTCCTCTGCTTGGCGATCTTTCCCCTAGGAACGAAGGTGTCGGCTGTGAGCTCGACTGCAAACGTCTCTCTGAGCTTGGCGTCGTCGCTGATGAGAGTGAGATGCACCCCCTCCATCGCCTCGCTCTCTCTGAACGAGGCCAAGGTCTGCTCGCAACTTGCCGTCGAAGGCGAGCTGAGCACCCACTCCAGCTCTTTTTGCTGGAGAGTTCCCGTACTTGCCCCAACAGCGACATACGTCTTCGGGCTCGGCCCCTTGCGACCTCTCTGCCCAGCACCCTGCACGAGCATGCCTGCAAGCGGTTGTACCTCTGCGGCTGCAAGAGATTGCGAGAGCAGCTGAGATCGATAAATCTGAGCGATCTCGGCCGTCGACATTCCTCCGAGAGCTAGGAGCTGTGATAGCTCGGCAAGGCTCCCTCCCTTGCCCCAAGGTCCTCGCTTGGCTCGAAGCTTGAAGGACCGGTCGTGTGCTATGCTCACCTCTGTGGCTCGAAAGACTCTCCCTTCGATAGTGTATTCTCTCCTGCCTTCCCATAGCTCCATGGCTGCTTCATTCCGAAGGAAGGAGACGGTGACTGAGATGTCGTCTGCTCGTGCTATCTCAGGTCTGTAAGGTGCTTTCCACATGATGGCCTTGTCGACTCCATCGACTGAGTCTACCATGAGACCTAGGTCCATAAGCTTCGTTTTCAACTTTTCTTCTTGTCGAACAAACATCGAGGAAATCCCTAGGAGAGTCATGGAGATGAAGGAGGTCCCCTCGGTGCCTTCGGTGCCGATGTATGTCTCGACATTCTGCTTCTTGGCCTCCTCCATCTGTTGAATAAACCATGCTTTCGACTCTGAGCTCCATTCGCTCAGAGAGTCTTCAAACAGGTCGCGTCTCGCCTGCCGACATGTCGAGCGGATGGCTTCAGCGATAGCGTCGGGAGTGCATCCCCCCTCAGCTCTGCAAGCATAAGCTGTCCGACTATTCGGATAACGCTTGGTGAAGTTCTTCACCTTCTCGACGAGGTCGGCGGCCTCCTCGACGTGGCCTCCTGAGCGCTCACCCTGCGTGTATTGGCATGATCTCCGATACAGCAGGTTGCGAACGCTCTCATCATACTGTAGTACCATGCTTAGAAAGCTGTTTGAACTATATGAACCTCTTGCTCGCAGCTTCCACCGGTCCCCTTGCGCTCTCCCTACGCGCCGCAGGGCCGCATGCTCTTACTAAGGGCCGGCTCTGCTCTTACTAAGGGCCGGCTGCTCTTACTAAGGGCCGGCTTGCTCTTACTAAGGGCCGGCTGCTCTTACTAAGGGCCGGCTCTGCTCTTACTAAGGGCCGGCTGCTCTTACTAAGGGCCGGCTGCTCTTACTAAGGGCCGGCTGCTCTTACTAAGGGCCGGCTGCTCTTACTAAGGGCCGGCTGCTCTTACTAAGGGCCGGCTGCTCTTACTAAGGGCCGGCTGCTCTTACTAAGGGCCGGCTCCTAAACCCTAAACCCTAAACCCTAAACCCTAAACCCTAAACCCTAAACCCTAAACCCTAAACCCAAAACCCTAAACCCAAAACCCTAAACCCTTTCCTTCCACTTCTGTCGCCCTGGCGATGCATGCGATGCGATGCATGCTGTTATGAACGCTAAAATCTGATGGTTACGTGAATAGGTCGGCTAGAGCAGTATCTGCATGAAATATTAGCATAGCGAAGTCATCTAAAGTTGCATGCAAGTGGGAACATACCTTGAGGGAGGAGCATGAAGGAAAGACGCTGGACAGTGCCCGAGGACAGTGCTCGAACTGTACAACGGCACAAATTCAAAGTGAAGTTGGGGTTGACTAAACATTAGTATTGGAAATTCAAATTTCACTGACCTGATGGGTAGATTTGAAAGTATGTCGGTTGAATATTTCAACACTTCATAGGAGGTTTGCAAAAAAGTTCAGGGCATGACGAAGTTACATATATACATCCAACGCGATCAATCTTTATAAAGAGGGGGGGATAAGATTTTTGGAATTTCTTTTAACTCATATTTTTGCTTTATTGCATAGAATCCATCATCACGCAACACACCCGCACCAATAGCGCATCCGCCTTCATTGCGAAAGTCTATATAATCGAGGAAATTTGATGAAGTCTTTATATACGGGCAATAAAGAAAGTAATGATGTGAGCCGTTGGGCGTTGAGACTTGAAAGGTTTGAACATCATCAATTAGTTTTTCAATATCATTATCTCGTTCTTCAGCTTTGGCAATGTCAAGATCGATGACGGTTAAATTATTGACCTTACCAGTAAGGACAGCATATTTAACTGCCTTCTCTCTATTGATCGTTGATTTAATTTCTTTGTGCCATATCTTTAATGTCTCTTTGATGTGTGTCTCATCCTTTTGCCACTCAGCAGGAAAGGCATATTTCTTTTTGATGATCATATTTGACTTGAATTTTTTATTTTTTGGATCATTTGGGTCTTTGGGATAAAGTGGCATACATTTAAAGCCTAGCTCATCCCTGATATATTCAAAGTCTTCAATGGCCTTTTCAAGGAGATATTCAGCAGAGGGCAATTTTTGGGGCATCCTTTTATTTATAGGTGAGATTTTTATTTTGTTATTTTATTTATCGATTTTATTACTTTATATCATTTTTTCCTCAAAATCGGCAAAATTCTTGCAATTTATTTTTGTTACTATTATACAAGTAACAAAATAAAAAAAGACTGTATCAATGCTTAATCTGATGATCTATTTTCTTTTTCTGCCTTCTTCCTATAATAATATTCTAAGGACTTTTGTTTGATCATATTTCTATATTCTTCGTCATTTAAATATTTGTTCTTTCTGAATTCCTTAATCCTTTCAACCTCTCTATTGTGAAAGTCTTCATCGTTGTTAAATCTCTTATAGTAATATCGAGCTTGTGCTTTTGCCATTGATCGAGTTTCTACTTATATATAAGTAAGAAAGTTTTTTCACTTATATATTAAAAAAATAATCAAATCATTTTTATATAAATTGGGGGGTTTAGGACGAATTGACCTTATAATAATCTTGATTTCCATATATTGCCTTCTTTGTATAGTTGATATGTTATTGTGCTTGCGGTTGTTGGCTTGGCATTTCCACCAGTTGCAATGATATCATTCAATCTTTTAACTATCTTTCGAGCTGTTATTTTGTCCTTGTTATTTTCGTATTGCTGTTTTTTCCTATCTAATATATCGGCTTTCTTATTATCATAATATTTCTTTTGTCTTTCGCGCTCTGATATGCGAGGGTCTTTTATAGGTGGTTTTATTGGTTGCCTTATTGTTGGCGAAGCCAAGCGTAGCGTAGGTTGTACTGACTCGATAGATTGAATCTCATCGGTTGGCTCTTGTTTAATTCTCACAGCTGCAGGGGGTGCAGGCTCAAGCTCAATCAATCCTTTCTCTTGCTTTATTGTTATCATCTCATTTTTAGACAATGATTTTTTATATGTTGCTTGTTGTTGCATAACTGAGTTCCTCATTTTTAGGGCGACGTCCTGCAAAATCTTGTTTGGTGTATTGTTCTGATATAACCACGTAATAAATGAAGATCTGAACATATTGACGTTCAATTGATGCTTATCAAACATATATTTTAGATATGTTTGCATATTTGCCTTTGCTGGTTTATTTTTATCTTTTATTTGTGTTATGAAATATTCACGAGGATATAGGGCATAGCTCTCACGAATGAAATCACTTAATTTAAAAGCAAATGATGAAAGATTCTCGCTTATCTTTGCTTTGGTGTTAATCATATAGCCGACAAAGTACCTTATAGCTCCGTGCTTTTTCTTATCCTTATTGAATACATATTCACATAGCTTTGATTTGTCATTTGGAATATAAATATAATCTGTGTTGTTATTAAGATTATTCAATGTGCTTGTAAATTTACAATCTGACAATTCAAGCCTTACCGGTGGCGTGTATAAATACGCTTGTAAAATTAAGGCATACATATGCAGTTTATAAGTTAAGGGGTCATTTTTACCTTTGTTTTTGAGTGATTCTCTAAATTGTTTATTCATTTCTTCAACAAGGTCAAGCAATGCACCATAAGGAATAAATTTTAATTCTTCATACTTATTGAGTTGATTTTTTCCTTCTTCATCCTTAACAATTGCAAAATCGAAATCGGTCGCAAGTATCACAAGTTTTTTATGCAATTCATTATCTGGACCAAATGCAATCTTAAACAATCTAGCAAAATCGTATATATCATTTCTAATTGTGGCGACTGATTGGCCCTTGTTAAATCTGATGATTAATATCCTATTTAAAAGTTTTCTATGGTTCTCTATAATCCATTTAAGATCTTGCAAATCTTGCGGCACATCAGGAACATTCTTTATTATAAAATTCACCATCGAGACAACCCTTTTATCAGATTTCACGGGTCCAACATTGGCATATTTATTTTGTTTCAAATCTTCCAATGTAGGCACAACATTATATTTTATCTTCTTATATTGTTCTGGTGTATAGTCTAGCTTATATATTCCATTAGTCCAGGCGTTGGGGCCATTAATATATGAATTAATACTTTCAACCATAGCCTCGAATTTATCCCATAGTGTAAAGGCTTTAGTTGCATCCGAGAATTGATTGAAATCAAGCAATTTTAAAGAGTTTTCATAAGCTTGAGAGCTGGCATCATTCATAAGCTTAAGCTCTTTGTAAAATTCAATATCACGGGGCGCCTTGTTGATGCTCTTTGCTTGTGCTGGTTTGGGTTGGCGCAGCAAGGCTGCTTCGCTGCCGCGTGTTTGCTTTGGCTGATTTTGTTTTGGTTGCTTTGGTTGATTCTTCGATTTCTTGGGCTTTTGTGCCTTTGGAGCTTTAAAGTTGTCTGGCTTGAACTTCTGAACTGGTTGAGGGTTTCTTTTTTGGCGATTCATCCTTTATAATATATATAGATAATTATTTTTCTTATGTAGTTTTATGTCTCCTTACATACAAAACAAAAATAAGATCATTTTTTTATTTATCATATTCTTTTGATCCTTTTTTGACTATGCACCAAGTGCCAGAATGACCTTTATTGAACTCTTTGAGAGCTTGAATCCAGGTGTTGCCTTTTCTAGGTACTCATTTATAATAAAGAAAGATAGATAAAAAATATAGTTTTATTAAGTTAGAAATAATATATATATAGTATAATAGAGTATATTTTGTTAGGCGAAGGGAGGCGAAGGGGTGGCGAAGGGGAAGGCGAAGGGGGACCGTCAGTATGTTTTAGCTGGGTACAAGGGTAAAAGAAGGGTAAAAAGAGGATATATAGACGTTAGGCGAAGGGGCGAAGGGTGAAACTCAATTTTTCAGGATAATATATATTTTTGTTACTTCATGAGGTATATAAAATAGAATATGAAAATAGAATTTCACCCTTCGCCCCTTCGCCTCCCTTCGCCTAAATAAATTATGCAAGTTATAGAGCCAAAAAATAAAAGAAAAGAATAATTAAGCCGTGTGTGTGGGCGAAGGGTGAATATTGGCGAAGGGTGAAATTCAATTATTGCCCCTTCGCCTCTTTTGTTACTTATATAACCCTTGAAGGATTCATAATTTTCATAGATATTATGTTTGCTCTGGCCCACTCCGTGGGTACGCTCGTTTATATTTGGTTATATTGTGTAATAATGCGCAGCAATGTGCAGCCACGATTTACATTAGGCATTTTTGTTACTTATATAATATCATAATTTGCATTGATATTATGTAGAGCTATGGGATCTAGGTAGGATTCAATGTATAACACATTTTTTTCTGTGAGGTTTATAGTTCAAACTATAGATTGGACTTAGCGAAAATTCATGCCGGTGGCGATGGAAGGAAGATAGATCGCAATTGTTCTCAGTATGCTGTTTGTTCCTGACAAACCAAACAATGCATAACATAGGGAAATCATTTCTCCATCGATTGTCTAGGCTTGTATTCTCTAATTATGCAATATGAGAGTAACAAACAGCATTGAACCTCGCTTGATGGAAGAAAACCTCTACGACATATGCTTGTTCTGAACCTTGTAGTCATCTGATCATGGCATGGGACGTTTGATCGAAGCAATTCAAAAAGTTATTCTGGAAACAATGCACTGACTTCCATGATCATGGCTGAATATCGACAATCGTTCAGCGTATTCAAGTACTTTTATTCCATGTTCAAAGAAAACATCATCCTGACTATTCTCAACGACTTGATGCAGATGAGCCTGAGTTCTTCTTGAATTTTTTCCTTAACTTCTTCACGAATGTATTCCATTTCAATTGCCCTCTGCGGAAACTGTAGCCCGAGTCTACATTGATCCAACTGTAGAAAGACGACTCATACTTGACAAAAATCTCCTGCGATTCCCTGAACATGCGCCTGACTCCGGTTCCTCTTTTCAACTCTTCAAACCTCCTTAGTTCTGTATCCCTCTCGTCTGCATCCTTGTCAGCTAGCACGTTGTTGATATGCTGCTCAAAACATTTCACGAGAAACTTCACGTCTGAACGTCGCTTTGTATTGCTTTGTCCAGGCTTCAACTCCCCTGCAGAAACATTTTTCAAAGGGGGAATTTGTCTTTTCTCGTTTCCACAGAACCACAAATTCCATGCCGATAATGGGGTTTCCAGCTCTTCTGTCAAAAGTACTTCTTCCAGAGCCGACGCGCTTGCCCCAGCTGCTTCATCAATGGAACCACCCGTGTCTCTGCTCTCATTCACTCCAACAGTGTCTGCCGGTATTACGGTGCGCTCCTCTCTCCTGCGACCAGACTCAACAACACTCTGACCTGAAGCCTCGGGGTCCCTTTGCTGAACATCTCTCTGTGATCCACTTGCTTCCCCTCCCGTCTCCATAATCACCTCCCGTATGATAGCTTTGAACTCATCTCGATTCTCTAGCAAGCCTTGGCGAAAGAAATCCTTTGCTGATTGTCCACACTCATTTGGTATGAAACCAACTTGTCGCCTCTCCGAACTTGAAACTCCTTCTGCCAATGCCTGGTTGCCCCGGCTAGATTGCTTGAACTCCAGAACTTCTCTTTGTATTTTTTCTAGGGACGCCACAACCTTGTCATTGTGGACATATTGATGAACGTGTGGAGGAATGCCTGTCGCTTCCATTCTGCCTCTTGCTTCCTTTGGCATGCAGCAAACAACCTTTGATTTCAAAGTATTCAGCATAGCTTCGTCCTGAAACAAGGTTGACTTCCAAAGAGGATGATTCCTCTGCAAATTCGTTCTGAGGAAGTCTGCATGGTATAACACGGATGCGAGTGCAAACTCCGCAACTCCATACATGCACATGGGTAATGTTGGGAACAGCATCTGAATCGCACTTGTGACCATCCCTGACGAGTCAGCTTCTTTGAAATGCGGCGGAAGAATTGCAAACTCTGATGAGTCGATGGGAAGCCCTGTTATAGTACGTCCAACAAATGCATCACCTGCTGCTTCATATCGTAGATACGTGTTGAAAACTGCTCCATTGGACCATCCCGCTCGCTCCGACACGGCACTGCTCGATGGACAGTGAGTACTCCCGGATGAACAATAAGTTGCTGCCCCCTTCCTAATAGAGTGACTTCCAAGATCCTCTGGTTGTAAACCGAGTGAACGCAGATGGGCAGTAACTGCAGTCTGAACTGCATCCATACCATTATGATCATCATGCCTTTCCGCGGTCTCGTCAGTGTCAGAGGGACTCGGGGCTGCTGATTGATTCGGTGGCATCATTATTTTTGAAAGAACCTGCATGAAACGCTTGTATTGTGATCTGCCTGGAAACAGGGACAGTTCATCTGGTAAATAGCAAAGCAAATAGATTCCTAATGCCAATATGGGACAGATCTCAGGATAAACTGGATTTGCATAGACTCTCCTGGGGTCTCTAGGCTTGTCACCGCTCTGATCTGTTTTCGAGTGAGCAAAGAAAATTTGGAGATGATCTTCATTCCAGCACATGTGGTTGAACTGAATAGATTCGGCGTTTCCAGCGCGACACATAAGATTCCAACAAATGATGAGAAAGGTGCGAGCGAAAATGTAATTTCTCTTGTCGGAAAACATCATGGTTTTGCAAAACAAACGATAGGTTGTCATGCTCATAGGTTCTTTGCCTGTTGTTATCTTCAGTACACCCGTTGCATCCATCTGATTCAGATCTTTCTTGAGGCCAACATAGAATTCTTGAAGAGCATTCTTGAATTCCACCGGTAGGTCTTTCTGAAAATCTCTGAAAAAGCTGTTTATTGCCGATCGATGATTACTGTAAGTTGCAAAACCATTGTTCGGTGAAACGCTGAGCAGATGCGTGATCCACATACAGAAATAGTCTGCGTCTAATTGATCGAAATGAATCGGGTAAACTCTTGGGGCATTCCCTGTTTCAATGCTTCAGAGAAAAAAATGCCATAAATGGCAACTTCTAACCTGTCCAAGATACAGAATTCTCGTCCAGTACCGTTCGTATGATCCTCTTCGATGGTAATGGTGGATCTCCTTCTTCCATATCTCTTTCAATCAAATCTTTGAATTCCATTGTCAACAGAAAAGGATTGTTTCGATACACGAACTGTATAAAACGGACAACGCTAGATGTATATGCAGCTCTTGAATTTTGCGAAACCCTTTTCGATCGGATTTCTGAGATTCTTTGTCCCACGAGCTGCATCCAATGGTTGTCGGGCCTCGTTACCTGTTCTCTGACGTTTTCTTCGGCCCCCGATTTGAGGCCTCGGTGTGGCCTCTCCTGGAATTACAACTGCTTCCTGGACCTGCATGTCCTCCAAAGGATCGCCTTCATCTTCGTTGACATTCGGAGACTCTACTTGGCTTACCTCCTCCATTTCATCTTCAACTTGTCTCTCAGCCTGTGCTTCCATCCCACAAAGAAATGTGCGCTCTGACTCCTACCAGAATCCTCCCCGTGTTGAAATGAACCCGTTTGCACGAGCAGACAGAGTACCCTGGGTACCCTAGTTAACTCCTTCCAAATTACCCCTCCTGAGTTTGGTTTCAGCATAATGACCTTAGTAGAGAAATGAGAGTTCAATATTTGAATATTTACTTGAAAAGTTTCAAAAAACACTCCCAAACAACAAGAGCTTCAACCTAAAGACATGTCCTAATCCTAAACTGTAGGATTCAAGCTAAAGCTCTAGTAGGCCTGATTAGGCCCGCCTCAGAACAATCCGACTCGTCCCGAGGCGGGCCCGTGTAAACCGGTAGGATATTTTCCTTCTTGGAATCCTCCCAAAGTACTATAAGTTTTCGCAAGTTGCGACGCATGGAGAAGAGGGGTGGTTCGTTGAGCGAGACCGAAATGATCATCGGATGGTTCTGAGGGTGCTGTACGGTAGTAGGCTGAGGGGCATATCGCCACAGGACCGGGCCCGGGCAGGCTGCCGCGGCCTCACTCAGGCTAATAAAAAGTAACTTTACTCAAAGTATCTAGTACGGAGGCTGTCATATCGAACCTTTATTGAAATATTCAAAGCCAACTATACTTTTAAATCATTGGCAATGTAAAATGTAATATAAGTTATCGATCACTTTTCACGGCTGTATTCAAAGCCGCGGCATGAGGCTGACTGAGAGAGTCGGCGGGGGCCTAAAGTTGACTAAAGAACCTCAGTGAACGGTTAAAAATAACTCAGTTAAAAATCAGGCTCACTGTAGTAGTCACCTCCCAGCCTACCGTACTGACTCGGATGGCAAACTTGAAAGTTTGAACCGGGGGTGACCGGCCGTCACGGTGATGCCACTGATGAGTGATCGGAGAGTCTTTACAGTTATGGCCCGGGTTACCGTACGTGACTAGGCTGGTGAAAAATTCATGCAATTCCAAGTTCAATGATTCTATCAAGCCGCTTAACGTGGCACAACTTGACGACGGTGGCACCGTGCCGGACCGGGTCACCGTGCCGCGGCGGGCCGCCCGCCGGGACTCGAGACTCGAAAAGCGGCTGATATTTCATATTGAAGTCTGAGAACTTGATACTGTGACAGGCCGCTTTTACCGCGGCGGCCAGGCTGGCCGCATAATTCGATCCGGTACGGTCACCGGCCCGACGCCGTCCGATCACGGTGCCGGGCGCCCGGCCCGGGGTGACTCCCGGCTCCGGGGACGCGGCGGCGCCGCCGCGTTCAACTTGATAGCCGTTGGCGAGCCTGAGAGATCTCGTTCCGAAGGTCGACCATCATTGGATCGGATCTTAACTCTCACCGTGCCATGGGATCAAACCCGGGGGGGCGGTTCCGGGCCTCGAGTCCGGGCCCGGCGAGGGCGGGCCGGCCAGACTATCAAAAATCCCACTACTACCCCTCAGAAAAGCAAGTACCCTACCTTTCTCTTGGAAAATCGTATGCCACTACCCCTATAAAATACCTACCCCACCCTGCGAGCGTCAGACCTCATCCCTTCCTTGAATAACACTGCCCTTTTGCTAGCGTGACCCTTCGGGGAGAGCTCATACCACCGGTACTTTACCATGCACCTGTTCTCCTAGGGGTAGTTGACAAGCTTTGGATGGGTAGGGTACGTGGACTGTTGGCAATCCTGGGGTAGTGATAAATAGAAAATCACAGAATTCGTAGGGGTACTAGAAATTACATGAGACAGGGGTAGGGTAATTAGTTGTGGTGCGTAAGGGTGGGTGGTGGAGACATCGCAATGGTGTGGTCGACGAGGAGACAAGACTCGAAGTTGATCGACGTATGCGCTGGTGAGATGAATTAGGATGAAGGAAACGAAAGAAATACATTGATAGAGGAAAGTTGACCAGGAAGCGATGATGAACTCTATGAGAGAAGTCCAAAACATGGTGGTAGCTTTGAGAACTAATGATAGGAGAAAACCCACGTGTGATCGTGATGTCGTATAGGAAGTTCCAATAGGTAAATTACTGAAAATTCAAGGCATATCAAGTGTAGTTTATCATCCAATCCAGATTTTGTATAGTTTATGATTGCTTTAACCCCGATGCTATCACCCAGTCCATAGTGCTAAATGCGGGAGAAATGAATTTCATCAAATGAAACACAAAATGGATTTATGGACACATCCCCGTTCACAGAAGACAATGGTGTGCAATAAGTATTGTGAGGGAAACTATGTCTAAGATTGTGGACAAATCAGCTTCCTGCCATGCCCTCTTGGACAATTACAGTTGGTAGATAAAGAATCTTGACGCAGTCAGGTTATAGTGCATCGATAGGAAGCAGAACAGCAGAACAGTTGCAAAGCAGTGGAGATTCTCTCGTTGTAGCGCTAGCGAAGAATGAACGATGTGAACACTAACGTTGATTTATGGCAGCCAACTCTGTAGGATTTGAGCAGACTAAGAAGTGCATCAATACGTACAAGATGCATCCTGCGGTAATTCTGATGTAGTCTACGATCAGCAGCATGTGAAAAGAAAATATCACAGGCTCGATTAGCGTATCTAAGGGAGTATGCGAATGGCAATCCGTACAAATAGGTATGCAGTGAACTTGCTCTTTCGGTGTCTTCCAACTTATGGCTTGTTTCGCAGTGCTTCCTCTGATGGAAGCTTTGTGTGGAGAGAAGCATAGATTGATTGTCAATACATTCCAACAAGAATATCAATGTGCCAGAGTTTGATTTCAAAGTTTACACTTGCCGACGAGGAAATTTGAAATGTTCAGATTTCATCCTTTACAGGTATCGCTCGTGCACGATGTGAGGCATCCAGTGTATCTTTTCTGGGTCTACCGGGACTCCCGGACCACCACAGCGGGACAGCCAGTATTCAACCAAGCGAGGGTTGATATTGATGATCCACTGCCCCTTGTAGTAGTTGAGGATCTGGAGGCGCCGGAGAGTGTCCTCGATGTCCTTGCTCTTAAAGGCTGTGCGATCACTGAGCTCCTCTATGGAGATGGTCCGGCTAGTCGGATCCGGGTGGTCGCCAATCTTCTTGAGAATATGAAGGAGCTCGCGAGCCCAATGGGACTCGTAGCTCACACGGCCAAGATCGGAGAGGGGCCTCTCGGGCGTCCCTTTCTTCTTCTCGATCTTCGAGAGCTCGAAGGAGAAGCTGATGATGAACTTGCCGTATCCCTTTCGCTGGTGCTGAGGGAAAGTGAGGATGCAGGCAAGGTTGTAGTCCATCTCGCTTTCTTTCTCCTTGGAGAAATATCCCACCTGCAAAGACCTCCATTTTACATCTCAGATGATGATGCACCTTAGCTCTCACCACATGACATCCCTGATCGTCACACTCGCAGACAACATAGAAGAGGAAAGGGTCGACATCCCAATAGAGCGTCTTGTGGTCGAGGAACATCTTGGCGAGGTAGCAAAGGTTTTGGCACCACACCTAAAGGAACTTAGCTTCTGGGTGTTGTAAGTGTTTGCGATGTCGACCTTCGACTTGGCTCCGTCTACTTCAAACACAGAAACCTTGAGAACAGACATGTGAGGAGGAAGGAAGGGTGCGAATAGACGAGCTTCACGTTATCTCGGCGGTATATCTCATCTCCAGGTGGGTGCCGAGGACATTTTCTCTCACTGAACTTTTGGGGCATCAACAAGAGAGCAAATGGAGCACGAAAGAGCAAGAAAACCTTGAGCTGATGTCTCTCAAGCTCTTTCTTAGTCTTGTAGAAATTGAGAGTAAACTCACAGAAGTAGAGCACGTCAATAGGCGGATCGTCCTGACGACAGGGTGACGGACGCCAGAAAGCGATCATTCATCGAACCTGCTTCCATATTTCTCTTGGCAGGGGAGAGAAGTACCAAGTCTGCTGAAATCTCAGTACATTTTCCACTATCCAAGTCTCGGTTGGACCTCAACCACGAATTTGCCTATCTGAACCTTGCTCACGTTCTTGATCTTGGTCACCTGCACGGATGTCACAAGGCTTCCAGGCAATAATTCAGAAGGAAATCAACCTCCTCATGCTCTTTCAGGGAGGCTTCATCGAGCCCTGCTCCACGGGGGAAGATGTAAGCATGAGAAGGATTTCACAAGAACAACCGTCGTGATCGTCGTGCCCTTCGTGTTGCCACTGATCGAACCTCGCGTCCTTCTTCTGCCGGACCTCTCGCAGAAGCTCTTTGGTGGTGTTGAAGTTGATGCAATCTGGCACAAGATCAATGGGCGCGCAAGACTGACATGGTGCAGACCTGCATCTATCCAGGAATCCAACCTCCTGTTGAAATCGGTCCAATGTACTAGTAAAAAGGATTCAGTGCCTGCACCTATCGGGGTTGCGGAACAATCATGGATCACAGCAAGTTGCAATTTTACCATAGTATTTATCTCCCTTGACCTCAAGGATCTCAGCTTCACCATGTTGTCAGTATTCCTAATCTCTCCTGTCTCTACCAACCTTCGCGCCAATCATCTTCTTCCTTCCTCCAGAGAGCCAAGACTCTGTCGCCCACCTTCATCCCCTTTTGGTCTCCGTCCAGCGCTCTCTTGCCTCCCAGCTGAGTGTACTGATCAACCAGCAAAACCTCGCATCGTTTCCTCTCACCTTGGACATTGGTGTTGATCAGGGTCCTCACACCTGATAGTGACATTCCACGCTGAGCTCAACCAACGAGTTCACATCAAATCACCTGAGTAGGATAATAGAAAGGATACGCCTCTACAAACAGGTGGAACATGGCATGCCGTATGTTGCTGAATGAAACGCTGTCAAGAATACAGCGCATGCAAACCACCTGCAACACTCCTTCGAACACAAGTCGAACCAAGCGAACCTCCACAGCACTCTTCTCATTGCCATGCTATTCGTACGATGGTATCTTTGCCCTGTGTGTTCGCACGTCCTCTACTTCTTTCTTCCTCTCCTCTCTTCTCCATCCTGCGCTCGTTCCCGTTGAGAACCCGCATTATGGAGTAGCTGTCATTTTTGGGCAATATTGAAATCAGGCATGAAATTTCGACCACTTTTTAAACTTTGAGCCCGACCGCACCAGACTCGGGGCCCCGGGCCAGTCGGGCCAGGACTGGCGCGGGCGGGCCTCCGATCGGACGGGTGAACATTCGATGATCGGACTGGCACGACGTTAGTACGTTACAAGCCAGCCTGGGCCAGGCCGGGCGGCCCAGTACCGTGACTCACGTGCCGTCATGCGGCAGTGCGGACGGGGTGACGGCAGTGCCAGTGTGATCCGGCGCCGATGATAATCGCTACCAGCCGTGCCAGTCATCTAGATTATCTTAGTAGTATTCGCGAGCAAAAACCGTCACAGGCTCCGCCGAGGCTCAAACTCAGATCTCAGTGTTGCAGCTGAGGTCGCCGATGATCTGCCCGGCGCACTGTGACTGATCATTAGTGACTTCGCCGATGAAGTTCGGCATACTGCTGAGTACAAGCCTAACTTGACAAATGCCGCCAACCAGTGGCATGCTCCGACTATCGGCAGCCGCCCGGCCCCGGTACCGTCTGGCAGCGGCGGGCTGTTTGAGCCGCTGAGCCTCGGAGCCCTGCCGCCCAGCTGCCCCACCGTGCGCACCGAGGGAGTTTAGAGGGGGTACTGAAGCCTTCAACTGAACTGCCAGCCTTGAAGCGGCCTGTCGGCGGCGGCGGCTGCTGCCAAGTCAGTGGCAAGAAACAATATTAGCAAGAAACAATATTATCACGAGTCAACAATATTATGACGAGTTATTCTTTAATTAAAGTGAAGTGATTGTCATAGTACTTTGAGCGGCAGAGATGCACTGATGGGGGGCTCTCAGGCTACCCTGGCATAGTAAGATGATGCAATATGATTGATTCAACAACTGTGACGGTCACTCGAGGAATCTTCAAGCAGCAGACATTTCACTACCTGCGGGCCCCGCACTGCGGCACTGCATGCCTCTTTACATGATTCGAGAGCCGCAGTAGATGCAGAAGTGTTGATCAAAGCTTGCCGCGCTCTTGCACTTTGGACAGAAGCTTCCGCTTGGTATGCTGTCCAGAGTAGACTCAGAAGCCTCTCTCGTCGAGCCTGCAGGATAAGTCTGTTTGCGTTGTCGGGAACTTGAATACGAGTAAAAGTATGCGCTTCCCAAGAGAATGATTGGTATGAGGATTAAGATTGTTCCACCGAGGGCGTTTGAGGTCACCATCCCGAACCCAACAGAAATCAGAGAAATGATCATTGTGAACACCACTAAGTAAACATATCCCCTGACGAACCCATTTTGATTCAAGAACCAATTTGGCAGAGTGATTCCCAGACATTTGTTTCCATGGAAGCAGTCATTCGTTTGCTGCTGCTCCATGCAAAAGAATTCAGGTGGATAATGGCTGTGTCTGGACTTGTGACACCACTTGCAGCGCGAGCCTGGCAGGCCTGTTGTTCCTTCATATCTCCTTCCCTCCAAGTAACGCTCCTGAGCCTCGCGCAGCTGATGCTGCATGGAGCTGTTCCTTGCCATGATCACCCTGTCTCGCTCGGTTACAGGGTTCTGCAAGAAGAACTTCGATGAATCTCTTCGTTCAAACAGAACGTAGTTGCTATCTTGAACCGAGTGCCTGGCGAGGAAAAAAGCTTGTCTCAGACTTGACTCACCGCATCTCCCAAGTTGTTCATAGAAGAGTTGCGAAAACTTGATTGCAGTTTCGTCCCCCACAGGACCGATATGCCCAATGGCAAAATCGACCACTTTTGTTACGGCTTCAGCGAATTCGTGAGAATGGCAAGCATTGATGACCACGACACGGATTCTAGAAGTTGTATCATGCGTCGGATTCAAGTGGCTGAGAAGTGCAGTGATATTCTTTGGGCTTTCCGTTTGCCCGAAGAGTTCAAGTCCTTGCATATTCCCATGGCAAGCAAAGTGTAGAATAGTTGGTCGATTTGCCTGTACCTTGTTGATCAAAGATTGAACGTCAGCAAAGACATCATAGAAGAAAGTGAGATTCTCCTTCCAAGATACAGCCCCATGTAGCTTCGTAAAGCATTCCTGGACTTTCTCGGCTTCAAGCTTAATCTGTAGCTCAGCGTTGTAAGAGTTGTTTGCTCCAAGAAAAAGTATTGATACGCTAGATTCAGCGGCATTTGGCAAACCACTCCCAAGCGATTTGATGCCCTCTGCTATCATTTGCTTTGTTTGGTTCTGTTTCTCATCATGTGCTTTACCGCTCGCGATTCTTTCTAACTTGACTTCCATGGAAGCTTTCTTCGTGAAGATGTTGTAATGAGACATTGTCACTATGGAGGCATTATCCGGATCAAGATCTGATCTGAGCTGATTGATTCCGGCGACTTCAAGTCTCTCAAAATGATGAGGATACTCTTCCTTCAATGCCAGGAGAAAAGTATTCCATGGCACGCTCTTGTCATTGAAGAAATATTCCATCCAGAATGCTCTTGCTGCTTCATTCTGAATTTTCAGCTGAGAGTCCAAGTTTGTCGAGTATGAAGCTCCCAAAGGATCTGTTTCGATTCGTACATCGGGAAGAGCAAAGATCTCCATCTCATGAACCTCCTCTAAACTCCCTCGAATCTTCTTGTTTGTTTGAAGCACGGATCCAGTCTCTATGATGGGAACATGCTTCAGGATGCTCTCTTCTGCCAGAATGAGGAGCTTTCTTACTCGCTCATACATCTTCTTCGATGACTCGTTCTTGATATCAGCCCGAGGAATGTGAGCTGGGATCGACCACCTCCATTGGATGTCTTCTTGGATGAGCAGACCTTGGTTGAAATAATATGACTTCCAAGAATTCTTCAGCTCTGGTTTGGTCGGAAGTATAGTCTGGCCATGCTTCATTTGTTGCCACCGTCCAGCAGAATCGTCAAAGAAAGCAAGACGCATGTTTACCGATGTCAGCTCCGCCGCTCGTTTTGAGGGCGGTGTCTTGAGACGTGTAGACCACTTCATGAATGTATGTCCATGCAGAACAAAACGCAAATCTTTCATGGTGGATCGGTTGAACTTGAAGAACCAGGCTCTTTCCAACAATCCATCTTCCAACTTCAATCCATTGTTCGACATGTCCTTAAAAGGGAAGTCGATAACCACAGAAGTGGAAATGCTATTTTTGTACTGATCAGAATCAATGAGATCGCACAATTCGAGCCATCTGGCATAGATCTCATCATTCACCATCTGATTTGAGCTGTCACGGTAAAGCTCATCGTGTGTGTCTCCATCCGAGAACAGCATGGAGATCTCATCATGATATTGATCGAAAGGCATGACCTGAACGCAGCAAGGCATCACACCCAGCAACAGGACTCAGCGGCTGCCGGGAAGGCAGCATGGCTTACCTTGGTCATTTGTGCTCAGAGCGAGGTGGGGACCCTGTTGCGGCTCTCAGGACCTTCTTTTTTAGCTTTGAAATTGTGACCGTTAGTAGTCCCCCCTTCGAGTTCAACAAGTTCCGACTGGGATCGGACACCGTCGCCGGGCCCGCTCGAGCGCGCCCGGCACTGACGCGGCCACGTTGACGCGATGGCATGATGATGCCCGGCCAGTCAGACGGTCCGTGACACTGTGACCCGCCGCCGCCGGCAGGCCAGGCCATCCGATCGGAGGCCCACTGCCAGGATGAATCACTATTGTCATCGCTACTATATGATGCTGACCGGGCAGCAGGTCCGAAACTCGTCGGGAAAGTACCGCACGGTCCGATCGGACTGAGTCGGATCGGATCGACGGTTCATCCGATCGGCGTGACTCCCGCCGCCGGAGTCCAAAGTCATTCAATTTTTAGGTAAAAAATTTACGATTGACAATATATACAAACGCATGATTTTTCCACCCTGCAAATTTCATATACACCTCATCTCAAGTTATATAGCATCACAATCAAAATGAATACAAGGAAGCCCAGTCGTTCTACAGAAAAGTTAAGAGATTGGTACTCTGCACGCTAATTTCACCTGTTCTTCCGTGCTGATCCCATCCATGCAAGCTGACTTCAAATCATCCTCTTGCTGCACTCTGTGATGAGATACGGCAAGGAGATACGAAATAATAACCATTTGCTGCTCCTGTTGGGCATCCATCCACGTGACAACTTCATTTAAGTTTCCCGCGCCAAGGGACAAGACATCTTCTGCAGCCATACTCTGACATCAACCATTAGAACAGATATCGAGAGTTCACAACTTAAACCCTGCCTCATTAGGATTTGTTAATATCTTGGTTTCAGCTGCTCCAGCAATTTCCTTGCTCTGTGAGCACCGTGTCAAGTGCAACAGCCCAAACAAACAGAGTTGCTCAAACCTGCTCGGCACCTAAAATGGAGTCCAGAAGATCCTCACTGTTTTCAGTGTCTGTCCCTGCAGACATTGAAGTCGTCTGCCAACAAACTCAGCAAATACTTGTACATTCCTCAAAGACATTTTTTACCGTAGTAGAGGTAGCGCTCGACTGAGCCCCGCGGCGATGGGGATCATCGTTTACATTTTCACGAACCCTAGAGTAATCAACGTCCATCATGTTCATTGGGTTACTTTGTCCATCTTTGGATGACGCTGCTGCCGTGGTCCTCCCGTTCCACACTTCAATAGGATAGCTACCTTGAAACAAAGTTCTAGAGTCTGAAAGTCCATAGGGAAACTGATAGGGCAGCGAGCTATTGGAGTTCAAACCATACTGAAGGTAGCCATTGCTGTTAGCAGAATAACCGCTCCCCGTTTCACCAAAAATACTTCTCGTGCCATCCGGGTAGGTGCAAGAATTGAACGGAATATCCTGATACAAGTAATTCTGAACAGGCCTGACTATTTTCATATTCTGCTGCTCTTCAAAAAGCTTCTGTACCAAAATCATGGTGGAGTAGTTGTTATGAGCCAGGGTATGGAAGCTCAGTTGCACCTGTTGGAAGAGACCAACCAAATCAGCTCTGGATCCGGCCACCGTGCTTGGCAGTAAAATGTCATCAGATAGCCGTGACTGAGTTTCCGAATCAATGAGCGTGCGGTCTTTAGGCGCAAGGACTATGACAAAAAATCTCTCCTTGAGAGCAGCAATTTTCTGCAAGAGAAAAGAAAAAAAACAAAAGATGTCAATGACGCGAAAGAGGCACAAGATAAGAACGAGCACATACTTGCACAAAGGCAGAGCCAGATGGGTGTTTGTCGATGGCACCCACTCCAGGAAGAAATCCATACTCAGAGGTGGGACCACTGCCTGCGTATCGAAATGCAATATCTGCTGCAAGATGGCTGGGCTCCAGCAACGACGGCGGAAAGTTATTCATGGAGCTGTGCGGGCTTGCATTATACGAGGAAATGACACCACGGCTGATGGCTAGGTTCAAAAGCCTCTTGAGCCAGTGCGCAAGATGCATTGCAGCGCGAAGTCTCACATTCACCGTTCGACTTGCAAATATGTAGCCATTCTCATCCGTTGGCGGCGCAACTCGCATGTGTGCAAAGGAGAAGCCTTGTGCTGACACATATTCCAGGTATGCTATTATAATGCTGGTCAATATATCCTGTCGTTCTGAACCGCGCTCTTCGGAATAAAGTGGTGTCGAATCAATACATTCTAAAAATACACGGCCTGCATTTGAGGGCGGACAGGCCCTTCCATATTCGTGAACGTACATGCCAAAGAAAACCACCTCGGAACCATTCGGAAATTTACGAAATGCAAGGATGCTTTTACATCTGTATGAACACCAAGAATATGACCTTGCATTGACCTTGCTCAAGGGTTCGGGAAGTTGCTTATATACATCTTTGTCACTGACCACCTTGACGACCAACTCTGATGGATTCGGTATGGTCATTCGAGCTCGTGCTGTCAAGAAATCACCAAGAGGCGTCGAAACAAGATCTTCTGGTCTGTAACGTATCGAACGGGTGGGAATGGAGCTTGAAGCGCAGTCCTGCAAGCCACATTGAAAATGTGCTCTACCTGAGCTGGTCGGATCGTATAGTGCGCAGACGTGATGGAAAGCTCTGTTGCACACATTACACCGCACATATCTGTGGTCATCAACTGGATCATGCTGGCAGCGACAACAATCTATCGTGTCAGTCGCTTCCATTGCTGCAGGTAGAGTAGGTGAAGCAGACTTTAGTGGCGGCAGTGTCGATTTGCTCCTTTTCGAATTGCTCGGCAGATTTCTATTACTTTCCATTTGGCACTCCATCGTATGTCGCTTAGTACTGGCATCCACAATCGGGAAACCGTAACTTCTCTGAGGGATGTAATTCAGGAGGACAGTGACCTGATATTGATCCACTAGGTTGAGAACTGCTTCTCCAAATGCCTCTGGAGTCAACCGTTTGTTCAAGAAGGCAGTAACAATATCAAGCAAAGAAACACGTGCAGATACTGGCAAAGAAGATCGCAGCTGCGACAAAATTTTGCAAATGTATTTCGTGCATCTCTGATGAAGATTTCCTTGTATGCCGTGAAATCTCCTTCGGAGAGACTCCTGCCTCCGTCGAGCACGCCACTCCTTGTTGATACCCATGGCGCTTTCAGTTTCGTCAGGAAGCGAAGATTGCTGTAGAGACTTATTTTGGTTCAGACCAAACTGATTGTTTCTGTTCTTTGCGCCAGCAGCTGGACCAGAGGAACCTGCTTGATTACGCAAGAGGGACGTCAACTGAGGACTGTATGAAGAAATGGAGTTCAAGAAAGTAAGAAATTCGTCATCTGCGAATTTGCCATCCTGACAAGACAAAAGTCAAAAGAGTGAGGAATAAGATGTTTTCTTACCCGCCAGCACTGGAAGACCGTGTTTGTAGCCAGACGGGCACCTACTGGAAGTTCTTCAAGTGCCCGCATGAGCTCTGGCTCTGGCAGGTTTCCGGGAAGAATCTTACTTCCTTTCGCATGAGGGATTCCTCCTTCTTTCTTCACTGTCACATTTTTGATGCCCGGCGACATTTCGCTTCCAACACTGAGCTTCATTGCCACAGGGTGGGCGAAACTTTTGTATCAATTCAATACTCCCAGCCTGCTCCAAGCATCGATTACAGGCAAGCCAGTGGCGTCAGGGAGTTGCTTGGCTCAGACAGAAATCAACCGAGGCTAAAACGATCCGGGTGCCACTGATAGAGTTAGGTCTAAGGCTAGACTCGGACGGGAAGGAAACAAGGAACGAAGGTGAAAGGGCACAAGGAAAGCGAGCAGAAGGCACCAGGCAGGAAGAATTCAAGTCGTATGTAGGACAAAAACGAGCAGATCTGATTGCTGAGACAGGTCAAGGGCAAAATCACTCGAGCACAAGTAGCAGCCGCTTCCCTGCATAAAGGCTCTTCTCCGAAATGTAGGCGGCTGATGTACAACGAGGGTGGGTAGGTTGTGAATGAGTGGGTCATGATGGGACATCTGCAGGTACGGTAGAAAGTGGGGGTAGTCTCAGAGAAAACAAGGGGTCATCACCATAAAAAAGGGACCCAAACGGGATATGTGGGTATAAAATTACTGGGGTCCTACAATACTTGGTGGGTGGTCAGTGCTGTTTCAGGGAAGAAGCCAGGGTGGGGTGGCATCATGTTGAAATTTGGGATCAACAGTCTGGAATTCAGCCGAAAGTAAGGATGGAAACAAGGGGGTGGACAGATGCAGGGGGTCAAGGTCAAGCCGTTGCATGAGCGATTGCATAAGAATTCCCTTTGTGTGCCTTGCTGTGCCGCCGAGCTAAAGTCTCATGCCAATTTCAGGGACTGTCGTGAAATATTTCAAGGAGGCCCAAACAAGAGCAAATCCTCGAAAAGAGTGGTTTCAGCTTGGTTAGCGGTGGGTGCTTCTTGCACAAGGAGGGGGTAGGGAGACAGGAATCATGGAGATCGAAGGAGATACGAGCGAGATTCCATGAGCCCGTTTTAAAAATGTTTATTTAGACACTCAGATAAAAACACTTTTTTGAAAGAGTGAAGAAAAGCAACGGTTTGGGTCCACGAAGCTCACTGGATAAATGCGATGGTAGGGGGGTAACCAGGGTCCGTTCTACCGTTGGCGACATGGAAGCAGTGAGCCATTCGAGACTGTGGGCTTAATGAAGTAATTGATAAAAACCTCAGGTTCTCATGTATACAAGACTCCAGTCTAATCGTTTTTGAAACCTCCACGATGAAACAGGAGGGTAGGGTGGAAGGGGCCATGCGCTGCCATGACCACTGTCTCTACAAGTGTTTTAGATCAGGGTCGGAAGCTCCTACCACCATGCTGGGGAACCGGGTAACCTCCGCGGCTACCCTACCCTGGCAATCATTATCGAGTTGTTATAATTTCTGGAGGGTGCGGGAACATTGAAATCTGAAGGGGTGGGTAGCCAAATAAATGCCAGGGGGCGAGATTGCACGAGATACCAGCCTCTTGGTATCTCCCTGACGAGATCATATTTTGGATGCCACGTGACTGCCAGGCTTTATGTCGGCTGACATATAGTAAAACTTCGGTAAATCTCAAGATATTTACACCCACGTGTCAGATCGGAGAAGATGTATTTTCGATTTTGTCGCAGTCGAAGCGTTGTTCTTTGGATCCAGCAAAGGGTTGTTCAGCCTTTTACAGCATTTTGTTTATTTCTTTGTTTCTTTTTGTTTGTTTGGTCACACCCACTGCTGACAGTTTTTATTAGTAGCGGTGTCACGGCGCAGCACCGGGCCCTTTGCCGGGCCCGACCATCTAAAAATATGCATGATGGGATCCATGGCAGACTAACAAGCTGAGCGGAAGCACGAGCCGCGGTTCCGTTCCTTGGCACCCGACAGGTTGCTGCAGAGCCTGAGGGCGTTGCCAATGGCTGATTTCGAAGAGCATGTGGGCGTTGCCGACCGGATCCTCAGCCTCATACCCGTGACTGCCAATGGTCATAACAGTCACGGTGGTTACAAGATGATGGGACCATGTCGAGGCTGCCGCACCTTCCGAGCCCTTCAAGTATCGACTTTATGTCTCGAAACTCTCAAGACAAAAGCTAGCAAGAAATGATACACTGCCGGGGTACTAGCAAGTCCGTGTGTTCGCTGAAGTCGTACCCACCGAATGATGCAATGTGATCCAGGTCAATGCATACAGTACTGATATGACACTATCCTGATACTTTTCGAAGTATCTGCAAACTCCTTTATCGGAGCCCAATCAATCGTCCGTGCCAAAGCGATGACCTCTTTTCCTCCTCATTTCCTTTTCTACAAATCGTGAGAGGAAAACAAAGTTGGTGTGAGAAGGGACAGGAGGAGATGAGAGGTGAGCAGTCCAGGAGAGGTTGAGAATGATGTGCACAGCAGGTCAGGAACAGAGCAGGTGAGGATGAAGCGAATTGATGGTTTCATGAGGAATCGATGAGAGGGGAGGAGCAGAGGTGAAGAGGACAAAAAGGATAGCAACACACGAGTGTGTAGGAGATGAGGGGATTGAAGTTGAATGCTAGCGAATGCTAGCGGCTGGTGCAGGAGATTGATGGGAAAGCTCTCACTCGCTCTCAGCGTTGTCCTACAAGATAACATCTGCTTCGAGATATCAACACAGCATGAGTGTCTTCTGTCCACCAGTAGCTTGGTGACCGATTCAATTTTTGGCGACCGATTCAAGATAATGCGATCCACTACATTGCAGAGCTGAAATTGGTCTGAATGAACTTACCACTTGTGTGCGGAGTCCAGTGCTGCAACATCAGCCAAAGTTGTGAGGCAAAACCTCTTCTCCTGACTGGAGCGCTTCTTGCTCTTGGCAAATATCCTCAATCATGTTCATCGCCATAGGAACTTTGAAATCAATCTTGCTTGGCTGCAACCCCCGGCAATGCCTCTGGAGAATAGAACCCTAACTGCGGTGCTTCGAGAGATGCAATTTTAAGGATGATTCACTTTTTAAATTCAAAAACATCACATGTATTCCTTACAATCGAAAGTTCCACTCTACCAGGACGATGCGCGTACCATGCAGGTATCAATCTCACGCAGGAAGCTCTCTTCGCATCTCCCGTGCGAGTCTGTCGACGTCGATAAGGGGAGATACCGGATCTTCTCTGTAGGACGCAAGCACCTTCCTCTGATTCCACATCTTTGAGAGCAGCGCCATCACTGTCCCATGTGCAGGTTCGGAGGCTTCTTCCATGGTGAGCGCTGTTCTTGCCTTCATGAAGTGTCTTTGTATGAAGGCGGCGAAGCCCGTGGCTGGTCGAGGAGTCTGAAGAGCCTCCAGTCTGCCGCTGCACTCTCCGCATGCTTTCTCGTTGATGTCGATGGAGTTCGTCTGTCTCCCATACTCGCACCCACATTCAACGCATCTGTAGCGAAATTTGTAGTTGATGTCATAGCTGTGACATGTGTCCACTTTCAGGAGTGGATCATAGCTCTCCACCCGTTCTGCCCATTTTTTGAAGCTGTTGCCGTGCGGTGGTTTAGATTCCTTGTCCAGCACCCACTGGGCAACATGACAGATCTCATGAGCCAAGGTGCTCTTGAGTCTTTCCTCACTATCAACGACTTTCCCACTAAGCTCAACAGCTGCTGTGTACTCCACAAACCCTTGATCATCATACCTGAGCTTGAAACTTGTCACCCCTGCTGTCTTGCTGTACGAATTGGTCCACTTGATCTCGAGGTCCTGGGGCAGCGCGTCATCGAAAACAGCTTGGTTCAGCTCGTGATAAAAGTTGCGGGCTATTTCATCCCGGACTCTCCTGAAACCTATTGACGACTTGGGTGTTCGGATCTTTGGGGTTCTCTCAGCAGACATGAAGTCAGACAGAGGAGTGTAGGCCCTCCCTCCGCGTGTCGACCTCTCCAGGATTGGAGTCTGAAAAGAGACTGCTCTCGAACTCATGGGACTTCTGCCGACGGGTGTTGCCTCCTGTCGGACGCTGACTGCCCGGTCATGCTTGGAAGAGAGCCTTGAGTTCTTCGTCCCTCGAGCTCCCTCGAGCTCCTCCTGCTTCAGCGGCGTGAGGGCGTCTGGGATGGTGGGTGAGGCCTCCAGGGAGTTCATAGAAGATGTTACGAGGGAATCGTCATCTTGCTTTTCATCGAACAATATCTCATCCGATATCGTCAAGCCATCTTCAAGAGCTTCCTCAAAAAGGATGCTTTCCTCTTTCTGTTTACCCCGTCTAGGAATATCCCTTTGACCCTTTGATACTGATTCAGTGCTGGGCGGACTCTGAAAGAGGACCCTCCTTGAACTTCTCCCCGCAGTTTTTTGTATCGCATCCTCATCGTCGATCAAAGTATTGCCACCGCGATCTGCACGACTTCCTATCTCATTAAGGTTCGAAACAGTGACATTGGCAGGCAACGTCGCAGACTCTTGATCTGGTAAGGGATCCATCGGCAGAATCCGCACTTTGTGAGTTTGCTGTTCGATGAAATCTTGCCAAAGATCTTCTTCCAAGTCAATGAACTCGTGCAACTCGGAGTCGAAGTATTGCAACTGTGAAGTTGGAGGGATATTGTAGCTTGAGCACAACTCTGCCTGGAATGATGCAAGCGATGTACACTTTCCTCTCCATTTTTTCCTTCTATCTGTCCCAAGGTAAAAGTTGCTCTCTACAGCACATACAAGTACTGTTCCTCCAAGTTTGTCCGAGCCCTTCCATGCACTCTCTGCTCTCAAATTTGGAGAAGATTTCGATCTCGAGTTTTGAAGCATTTTCCTGGAGGCGCTTCTTGTGATTCGTGGTTCAGGGGTAGCTCCTCCCCCTCCCCTTATCCCACGAATCGCATGTTTGATACACTCCGGCGGAATCTTAGCATACACAACAGATACTCCAGAACCAAGGAATATGAGGTACATCCTCAGCAGTTTGAAGAAAATCTTTTTCATAGTTTGTAATTCTTCAATATGTTTTGATATTCTCGTCAAATCAGCACCCAGAAAGCAGTGGAATCGTTGTGATATGCCATGATTGCTTGCAAATATTCCTCATCCCTGGGCGTGACTTATGCGCTGTCCAACTTCAGGTTGACCGATTCACGGTAAATGCACGGGGTCCTGTTCTTTTTCAAAAATACCGTGCAAAATATTATATCTCAGTCTCTCGTCTCCCCTTTTCCCTGCCAACTCAAAGTCGTTTCTCGATTCTGGTTGTTCGTTCCGAGTCCCTCAAAAGCGAGTTGGAGTCTTTAGTACATATCACTTGCTTGTCCCCTTGCATCTGCAGTTGACCAACTGTTCCTTGAGAGACACACATCACAGCTCCTCTCGCTGCCTCCTGCATCTTCTCCTCTCTTCCTAGACGCCACTCTACTCCTTGCCGCCATTGAGGTAGCCTTGCACGCCACATTCGAATCCAGCCTACCCCTACCCCCTGCTCATAGAGGGAATATCCATCTTCAATACCGGTGGTGAAAACTTTGTATGGAGAGTGTGGTGGGGTAGAGATAAAAGGGGAGGGATGAAGGGTAGGGGAAATTAATCAGAGAGGTGAATAGATATTGACGAGTCTCGTGCTAGAGAGATAGACGTGAGTCCCTCCCTAGGGGTAGTGAAATATGATGGGGTTACTATCAGGGCTATCCGTTTGTTGGAGCAACCATGGCAGCGAATCTTGGGCGGCAAGGAGCTTGCCGCGGACAGGGGGAGAGAAGACAGGGAGGGAACTTGAAAGGGATCAAGGGAAGAAAGAGTTAAAGGAATTGAAGCGTAGGGAGATCAAGGAATTGAAGCTGCTGGGCCCAAAAGAGGAAGGGAACTTGCCTGATCGGAACGAGAGGTTTCGAGAAAGGAAGCAGAAAACTTTTCAACGGAGGAGGAGAGACGGGGATAAGGGAGACCTATAATGTCTATCCAAAACGGGAAGGGATAGCAATGGGGGAGGGAGCTCGGATGGAGAGCAGGCTTGAGATTTCTTCTCATTCATCGTCTGCAGGGTCAACGCGATCGGTCGGCGTTTTTTGACGAGACCATCACCTTATGCCGCCCACCAGACCTGCGGTGATTCCTGATCTCTGAACCCCGACATAGTGAAAATGCTGTAGCCTACTTGATACCACATGATCGGCCGCCTGTTGAACTTTCGAAGCTCTGTCATCTGCCATAGAGGGCGATGTTGAGTTTGAGAATCTTAATACTGCTTTCAATCATTCTCAATGCTGTATCGCAGTGAGTTATCGATGCTTGTTTGATTCTTTGAGGGGTTAAGATGCACTTCAGATATTCATTCTTCGTTCAGTTCCCGAAAATCTCTGTCACAGAAGACCAACCGCATGGTGAGTGATGTACCCCTTGCATGATTGCTTGACACCCTTCTAGTTGTATGCTCAAGTGCCCAGAGTCAGCCAAGAATAGCTGCTGCATGTTTTGTAATATGATAAATCGTTTGAATCGTGCTGAAGTACTCACTTGCGCACGACAGAATTGTACAGAAATATCACAAGTTCCGACATGTATCAACAACTTCAAAATCTTGACAACGCAGTTGAATGTTCTCTCTGGGCTGCAAGAATTGGTTACAATTTGTAATCCAACGGTAACGTTGCACTGCCTCAGTATTTGTCGATGTCCTTGACGAAGACTGCGTCAGGATACAACTGGTGTTACCACAAACCTCAACAACAATCAGTTCCAAATCATATTCCAAACAAAAGCGCCATCTTACAACGCGCCAAATGGCCACACATTGACGATTCCATCAAGTGCAGTCCAGGTCTGTTGTACTTGACAAGCAAGGAAAGGTGTGTGACTGAGATTTCTCATTTGCAGTGTGTCAATGGACAGTGGTTCATTCAGTACATCACAACAATAGCAGGGCAGTATCAATTACAAGTTTCTCTCAACACCGGTGTCTCCACGAATGGACAGGTTGAGGAACTGTTTTGCATGAAACGAATTTATAGCTCTAATCAATGTCTTAGACCATTTGGACACCTTTGCAAGAATACGGCGGTGGCTCAACAAGCCCGTAAGGCAGTGAAGGTTGCTCTGCCTCGACATGATTTGCTGTTTTAGTTTTGAGAGCTCCTCCACATATGTTGTGGCTGGCCCAAGCCGGGATCAAACATACTTCATTGATACTGTCTTGAGCTCGAGGCCGCCCTGCACACAGTCATCTCCTGCTTGCAGGTGAGTTTGAATTGACCCTCTCGATCAACTCGTTGAATCGCCGTCTCACAGTTATTGCCTGAATCCTCAACTCAATGGAGGATGCGCTGGAAATACACAAATTCCAGCTGCAAACGCGCTCTCTAAAATCTTCTTCACCTCTGGAGATGCTTTCTCAAATCCAGCAGCGTCAGCAAGTTGCTCCGCTGCCTCGGCCAGCAGTTTTGTCAGTAACCTGCAGGCCATCAAGATTTCCTACCTGGTGCCTACGAACTGCCAGGAGTTGAGGTGCGCAAGTGCTGAGGTGCAAGGGAATTCAGTCGCTGTTCCCGTTCCGTCTTCAATATCTTGCGCATCGACGCAGTACGCGGTATACTTCACGCCTTCAAGAAGTGGTTTCTACAGCTTGCAAATCACTCTTTTGGCATTAGTCATTGGGCCTCAACTCAACTCGATCAATGCTGGTCCTGTAGACTTCAATCATACCTTTGCATACGGGAATGGTTTGTTTGGGTCAATCCAGAATGAGCAAGTCACCTTTTCTATCATTCCGACAGATCAGTTTGGAAACCAGCACACAAGCGGGATGTTTGTCTTTCAAATCTTCCTTACTCCTGTCAGTTACCTCGGGCTTCAACAGATCATTCAGCCGGTATCGTATGGCAATGGTCCCGTCGAAGTCACATACTCCATCTCAACCACAGGAACATACAGTCTCGAAGTCCACTATTGCAAAGACCTCACCCACTACCCCCCGTACACTCCTAGGGAAAACCAGCTCTGCGATCTCGCGACGGCTTCGAATGCTGGTCCGCAGATTCTTGGGAGCCCGTACACCATCACGGTGGTTGGAGCTCAATTTGTGGTCACGGGCGGCAACCAGCCAGGAATGATGAGCACATTCCGAACCGCGCAAGTGGGGGTACAATACTTCTCTCTCCTCCAAAGTAATTTTCAGAATGGCCCTTGCGGGCAAACGTATGGAACTCCAGAGGTTCAAGCACGGTACCTTCCGGTCATCCGTTTTGATATTGCCTCTCTACAGTACACCAGCTATCCCCCCAGCAATCCAACTCTTCAGCCTACAGATGTCTCCCCTACAGACGTGTCTGACGGCCTTTACTATGAGACGAGGTATGCTCAGGTCACAGGACAGTGTCTGAATGGGGCTTATGTCTTCTCGTTTGTTTTGACGATCAGCGGATCTTACAATGTCTGGATATATGTCGACACGGTCAATCCCCAGCTCGCTGCTGGCAGCCCCTTGTCGCTTGTTGTAACTCCAGACCCACAAGTCATCTCAAACTTTCGGGCAGCAGGCCCGATATTATCTTGCACTGACACTACGTTGTGCATGGCGAACCAGAACATGGTTTTTTATGTACTTGCAAAAGATAAGTACTTGAATGACGCGACAGAATGTACAGAAACAATAAGCATACAAGTTCAACCTGCGCAGTATTCGTTGGATCACTTCAAACTTACGAACATCGTAACGAATGCTACAACAGGGATAAGTACAGAAACAAATCAAGTGCGTTATGAGTCTCAAACGATTCAAGGCTTTCAAGGTGTTGTGCAAGGTTGCAATCAAGGGAAGTATCAGGCCACAATCTTTGCCACTTTGTCTGCTGATTACATAGCGAACATATATGTTGGGAGTAATCTCTTGTTTGGGAGTCCATTCAATTTTCATATCTACCCCCAGCAGATTGATCTTACGCTTGGCTCAACACAGCAAGGGCTAGTCACCTACACCAGGTAAGTTTGAATTGATATTTGATGCTTTCAGCTGAAAATGACACAGGTGGTCATACTTTCGTATTTACATTCCCAATCCTTATGGATTTCAAGTCAACGTAATCAAAACAGACTCCAACGATGGGCAACCTTGGACATTCTTGAGGTACAATCAAGTGTTTGAAGTCTTTGAAGAGCCAGACTCTCGAAATAGTTATCCTGTCGCTGCTGCACAGTATTACTGTCAATCTTGTAGACTGCATCTGGCACCAGAGAAGTGCAAGGTTGGCTATTGGTATGTCTCGGTATATGGATTTCAAGATGATTCATACTTTTCAATCAATGTGATCCAGTATTCATCATCGAACATTGTTTCTTCTGTGCCCGCATTAGGTCGTGTCGAGCCAGGGTTTTATCAGTATTTCCATTTCAACGTGACCTCAAACGCTGGTTTCCAGGTGCGTGTAAGCTCTACGACGAGCACGCAAGGCTCGTTGGTGACGACGCTCAAGAAAGGCAGTTATCCTCTCACCGAATTTGACGCAAGTAGCTCACTTGGCCAAGCTCTGATCTCAAACGGGTGTCTCGATTGTATATTGGATTTCTTGCCGTCTACCAGTGCTCCAGGGGTGTGGTATCTTTCAGTAATCGCATTTTCATATGCTGTTGATTTTCAAGTTCTCTTCCTTGAGTTCGATAAACAACAGATCAATTTCGGCAGCAAACAATCTCAATTCACTTTAGCACCATATACCTGGGGTTACTTTTTCTTCGACATCACACCTGACATAACGCCCGACGGTTTTCGACTTTCTGTAATTCCAATGAGCGCCAAGTACAACCTAACGACAGTGCTCAAGAAGGCGGACTTTCCGATCTCTTTAACAGACAACACCTTCAGAGAGCTTCCTTGTTCCAGTTGCCGTGTAACGGTGATGTCAAAGTTGCCGTTGCAGTCGACGTGGTATGTGGGAGTTTACGCTGGTTCGACAGGAGGGACATTCAATATCCGTGTCCAGCTGCTCCAGACTTGCCCCAATCAATGCTTTGGCAATGGAGTGTGCACCCAACAGAAGATCAAGAACTGCGTGTGCTTTCCAGGATACACGGGAGTGGACTGCTCCAAGGTGGTGAAGGAGAAAGTGTTTGCTTGGTACCCTCTAATCGACACTATCGTCGATTATTCGGATAACAAGACTCCCATGTTCTTCTTGATGAACAATGGCTCCAATCTGAATTTTGACTCGAATGGGATCTTGATATCTGACTCGTATATTGCCATCCCGAAGCCAACGCCGGCTGTTGCCTGCTCCATGTTTCTGAATTTGGATCAACCCACCAAATCAGACCTGCAATGGGGTGAGCAGATCGTTGTGAACGAAGGGACAGCAGCTTCCAACAAGGTGCAGAAAACCATCCCGGAAGTGGGGGAATGGTACAGGTGGAATCAAATCGGGAATCCTATGGGAAACCCGTTCACAAACGAGACCTGCGCCGAGTACAACCCTCGTCGAGAGCTCACCGTCATGTTTCGATTCCGAATGGACAACATCTTCCCTTCACGAGGCAGCCTCATGTCACTTGGACGCGCGTCCAGCATCATCGGCCGTCAAGATGTCGACAAGAATGGGATGTGGAGCTGGCAGCTTGCTCCCTATGAGCACCCGAACGGAGTAAATGTCGTTGTTGACTTATACCTCCGCAACGCAACTCATGAGATCAGCGTGAGGGAGCATTCGATCTATCCAATCGATGGCAAGGACATCTTCTACAAGGCCAACCGGCGCACGACTACGTTCCCCAACGGATGGTGTATAGACGGACTTTACCCTGATCCTGTGACAGGTGTCACCATGTTTCTTGTTCCCATCATGAATATGGTTGTGTTGGCAGGCACTTGTAAATACTTCGAGCTCGGGAAGAACTATCACCTTGCCTTCACTTTCGGGCCGAGGAGAGTAAATCTCTATGTTGACGCCACCCTCGTCGCTTTCATGGACCTCGGGCTGTGGAACATAACTCACATTCCCTCCGGCCGCATCGAGTTCGGCCATGATCCAAGATACGCGTCGTTTGAGAGGCTCTTCTTCGGGAGGGTGAGGGAGGAGGCCCTGCGACATTCGGTGACGACGAGCATGGCAGGTGCGAGACATCCGGATCTTGAGATACGTAGCGTCGCACAACGAGATTCTGTCCATCTTCACCCAGGGTGACTTGTGGTTCCAGTGGCAGCGCAACTTGCAGGTCACCACGTCCTCCAACGCGAGTGAGGGCTCGTGGGAGTCGCCAATCTCGTGAGTTCCTGCAACAGAGGAGCTGCGGGGCACAGGAGCTGACTGTGCTACCAGGCTGACAAGCCTTGACGACGGCTCTCTGGATCCTGACACAGCATATCACGCCAAAGTGTGCCGGGAGTACCGGAACCCCAACGAGCCCTCGTCGATGCAGCAAGCGGCACACTGCCCGTGATTGAAAGTCAACACCTCTCACCGCTCTGACCAGACGCTGCAGGTTTGTGGACACGCAGACCTCCTGGATCTTAACGACGGACAACCATGCCGTCAATCCGGACTACACCACAACTCGCACGCCATACGGCCTTGGAATCGAGATTGTTGTTTTGCTAGACACTCGTTGACGTAGTTTATCTCAGATCTTGAAACTTGTATGATAAAGAATTTTTATGATTGTCTTACTAGAGCGAATTCCACACTTACATTTACAAAGTTGGGTACTTCATGGTCTTGACGTCAAATCCAGGCATGGGCTTGCTGGTGGCCAACTGCTCGGCCTTCTGCTTGAGGGCAGCAATGTCGGGATTTCCTTCAAGGGCCGGGATGAAGTCCTTGAGAGCCTTGCCAGACTTCTCCTGCACCTTGATGCAGATCTGAATGCCCTCGTGGATGAGGTCAGCAACCTTGATGAAGTCCTCCTCGAGGAAGCCGCGGGAGGTCAAGGCCGGGGTGCCGATGCGGATACCTCCAGGCATCAGGGCGCTGGTGTCGCCAGCAACGGCGTTCTTGTTGAGAGTGATGGAAGACAACTCGAAGACCTTCTCGGCCTTGGACCCGGTGAGGCCGTGAGGGCGAAGGTCGAGGAGGATGAGATGGTTCTCAGTGCCGTTGGAGATCAAAGTGTGTCCGTGCTCCATGAGGCGCTTGGCCATGGCCTGAGCGTTCTTGCGGATCTGCTGGGCGTAGTTCTTGAACTCGGGGGAGTTGACCTGCTTGAGGGCAACACACAAGGCAGCGATGGTGTGGTTGTGAGGTCCACCCTGATCTCAACCGTAAGAACAAGAACCTTTGAATGAGCGAGCAGGGCAGTGGTTTTCAAGTGCATGGATGAGGTAAGGGAACGGACGCAGTACCTGGAGCGCAGGGAAGACAGCCTGGTTGATGTCGGTCTCAAAGTTGTAGTCCTCTCCAGTCTTGGCGTTCTTGCCCCTCCTGAAGAAGATGATGCCCGAGCGCGGACCGCGGAGCGACTTGTGGGTCGTGGAGGTGACAATGTCGGCCAAGGCAAAGGGTGACTTCTGCTCTCCAGCAGCGACAAGACCGGAGATGTGTGCCATGTCCATCATCATGTAAGCGCCAACCTTGTCGCAGATGTCCCTGAACCTCTGGTAGTCCCAGTCCCTGTTGGATGGGTCACTACATGGTCAGGAAAAGAAATCGATCACGTACCGGGGGTAGGCGGAGCCTCCAGCGATGATAATCCTGGGCTTGAAGAGCATGGCCTGCTCCTCCAACCTGTCGTAGTCGATGTATCCAGTCTTCTCGTCCAACCTGTAAGGAAGGGACTCGAAGTAGATCGACGACGCTGAGATACGCTTCTTGGCGGTGTAGAACCCGTGAGTCAAATGTCCTCCATGGGGGAGATCGAGACCCATGATACGATCGTGGGGGCGCAAGAGGGCAGTGTACACGGCGAAGTTGGCAGGAGAGCCGGAGTATGGCTGAACGTTGACCCCCCACTCCTCAGGCTTCAATCCAAAGGCAGCTAAGGCCCTGTCCTGGCACAGCCTCTCGATCTTGTCGACGTTCTCGTTTCCTCCGTAGTACCTGGCACCGGGAAGACCCTCAGAGTACTTGTTGGTGAAGCAAGAGCCGTTGGCCTCCATCACAGCCTGGGAGGTGAAGTTCTCGGAGGCAATCAACTCAAGTCCTCTCCACTGACGGTTCTTCTCCTTCTCAATGAGGTCCGCGACATCAGGATCAGCCTCAGTGATGGGCATGTTGCCCCATGGGAACATAGGATTGGACATGCTGCAAATACAAGAGTCAATACGATAAGATCATGCAGACAGATCAGCTACTCAGTAAAGCCTTTTCAGGTTGGCCATTTCCTCCAACCCTTTCACAATCACTACAGTGTTCCTTTGCCTTTCAACCGTTTTTCCACACTAAACAGTAATACATGGTTTCAGGGAAATAAAGCAAAGAGCGGAGATGAAAGACACGATGCTCGGACATTGGAGACCATCGATACCAAATCAGCAGATGTCAATGTTTCTCATCAGTGCAACAGATGTTGCAGGAAGTCAATCTCTACATCATAGGAAGCACGGGAACAATCAGGTTTGTGTCTTCACAAATTTTCATCAACATCAAGTCTAGTCATCGACCTCTCCTCGCCCTTTATCCACCTCAACCCATCTTCATTTTCTCCTCTGCCCGCATGTGCGGCATCATCCCACAATCATCGGTCACCCCTACCCCCTACTTATACCCACCCCTTAGCAACACCGACTGACCCCAATATCTTCCCGGTCTCTACCCCACCCCTTGGATCATTTCCAAACCACCTCTTTACCTCTATCATATACCATTTAGAAATTGTGAGTCGACCACCCCTACCAGTCTATTTGATATTAAAGTACCCCGTTCATGATGCCTTACACGGTTTTGTTCTACCCCCACCCTCAATCAATCATTTGCACGACCCTACCGGGTATAGTGGAACTTTCTAGATGTGGGAAGTCTACCCCCTTTCCTAGGCTCTTCCTCCTAGGACCCTCCCCACCCTACAGCCGCATCTCGTGCTTGGGCTTTACACCGTTTTTTTTTCTTTGACCTACCGAAGAGGTGGGTGAAACGGATCTATAGGTCCAAGCAAAAAATCAATAACTGAAATATTATTGATTAAAATTGTACCAAAGTTTTGAGTTAATATAGTAACTTACTGGTATATAGGGTGGGTCACTTCCAGCAAACTATGCAAGGGTCCAGGGATCCAAAAATACAACCTCTTGCTAAAAGTCCTGGTACTGAAGGAGGCGCATCTCGGTACTATTTTGTACAGAGTATAAAATACCTGAGGTACCTTTTAAAATAATTTTTGATATTTTATAGCACAAGTTGTAATAGAAGCTACAAGTAGTTGTACAATTTCAATAAAGTCATCAAAGTGGTACGAGTTGCCAAAGGATTTGAAATCTTACAATAAAGTAATAAATATACAATTGGTACTTTAATGTTTACTTAATCCCCCGTACCGTCAGACTCCCAAAGGAACTTGGAACATCGTCTCCTGAGGCAGGCCTCATCTCGTTGTTTGCAAAGCAACGGAAATTACTTAGCCGTTACAATAATTTTTTGGCGTTACGTTATTCGTTACAAAATGTTTTGTAACGTACACATGAAAGGAGTAACGAACAGTAAAAAAAAGGGCCGCGTGCGTGTGCGCAAGAAAGTCCAGCAGCAGGACAATGGCGACAGCAGTCAAGAAAGTCGAAGGAGGAGAGGGAGGAGCTCCCGCCAGGATCAGGATCACCCTTTCCACCTCCAAGAGCGTTGCGAACTTGGAGAAGGTTAGAAGATTGGCATGCTAGATGTTGTTCCTTGTCCCTTCTTGTGCGTTGCTGCTCCGTTTGATTCGTCGCATGGCCGAGCTTGCCTGAATCCTGTTGGCTTATCATCCATTTGATTTCTATCTTTGTTTTCGTGGTTTGTGGTGTAAATTCAAGTATGTGTGATGTCCTGTTCCTTGTAGTGAATGGCATGCAAGGAAGTTACGAGATTTGACTCCTGTGAGTGTTTTCTGAGATATCGCTTTTGCCTTCTCACTGTATGTTTTCTGTTTATGCATTATACAATCACATATATCTCACAATCTCGTTAGGTTTGTGCCGATCTCATCAAGGGTGCCAAGGACAAGGAGCTCCGTGTCCGCGGTCCTGTCCGCATGCCTACTAAGGTTTTGAGGCTTACCGTCCGCAAGTCTCCTTGCGGAGAGGGAACCAACACCTGGGATCGTTGGGAGATGCGTGTGCACAAGCGCATCATCGACCTTTACTCTCCTCCAGAGACCGTGAAGCAGATCACTTCCATCTCCATCGAGCCCGACGTCGAGGTCGAGGTCATGGTGGTCGACCAGGTCAAGTAAGCATGCAGATCGGGGAAGATAGGTTGTGAAGTTCCTCGCGCTCTTCACATGATGCTGCCTCTGTCGAGAGCGTGCGTGGCGAAGGAGCTTGTAATTAAATTACGGAAAAGCCAAAAAACAAGCAAGTTTAATTTTCTTTATGTCAGTAAAGAATTCTTCGTCAAGTTCTCGTTCATCTCTCCCGCGGAAACTTGTTTTTCTTGAGCAGTCGCTCTGTAATCAGCTCACGAATCTGCATGCTATCTCAGACATGTTGAGCCGCGTGAGACGCACCTTCTCTTGTTCCGCTGCTTGTATTACTCTCACGTCGGCCTGGTTGTTGGGTCCTGAGTGCCTCGGTCACGGTGCGAACCCTCCTCCTAGTTAACACTATTGCACGCGCACCTTTGTTAGGCAGGAGACTGACGGAGATGTTCTCCGTGAGCTGGTCGCACACGATCATCTTACAATCTCCTTGTTTCTCCCCTCAAACCTTCTTCACGGGAGAAAGGCGAAGCTTCGCCAAGCAACGAGGCACTACAGCCTGGATGCGGCTGGTGTAGTCACCTACACGAGCTTGTCAGTCTCCAATATTCTCCTCCTCATCTCTCACTATCGAGAGAAGAGTCTGGAAGGCACTCAGCAGCACTCAGCAGCGCCTTTCCCATTCCCTGAACTGTAAACATGCGTGAGAACATCCCACTTAGCCCCTGGTTGTCACATACTTGCATGAGCCGCTGCTACTGCACCCAGCTCCATCGCAGCGTCACCATGAACACCTTCAAAGCCAATCTGTGAAGATAGTGAGGAGATCGAGACAAAGGTGCAGCCCATACTCACATGTTTGGCGTACTGGTAGGCTACTAGTGTCATGCACCTCAGAGCTACTTCTGATTCCATTGCTTCATCTTCTGTCGCTGGATTGTCGCTATCTGCATAGTCCCCGTGTCACCTCTTCTGACTTTCTCAGCTACTTTGACAACCAGCAGTCGCATCGTGGCAGAGGGGAAGGAATACGGGAGGGACACTTGAATCCGACACCAGGCTCTTGGCAGCCTTGCGATCTGTGAACTTCAGCTGCCAAGCACATCAGCCCGAAGCTTTGCTTGCATCAGATCCGCGCAAACCCTCCGATCTGCCCTCTCTTGCCATCCTTCGGCTGACGCCCCTCTAGAATTCAGTCTTCCTACCTCTCTTTCCTCTCTCCCATTCCTGTCGTCTTCCCGTCGCTTGCTCGCTGCGTTTCTGCCACAAGTGTGAGCAAGCGACTGTGGCATGCAGAGTCAAAACACGGTCAACCTCCACTCCGAGACCAAATTGTCAAGGGGAATGACGGGAGGAGCTGGGCAAAAACTGTCATAACGGCGTGAGAAACGGAGGAGACAAACCTGCTCCAGCCTTCTTGTCAGCCTTGTCATCCACGGATGCAGGCGCTGGCATCTCAGGAAGCTCCTTCAGCAGCACATCGGCAAGTTTGACAATGCATTCTGAGCGTCGAGGTCAGACATGACGACATCAAAGAGTTGTCGACGAGCCTGGAGTTGTTTCGGGGTTTAACAGAGCTACCAGTTCATCCTCGAACTGCTTTTTACACTTCACGTCCAAGTACCAATTTCCCAACAGCTTGTCTCTCATTTCTCGTATCTTCTTCACGACCTTGTCCTGCGTGTAGGGTAAGTACCTTACAAGAGTTGAGCCACCACCGACTGACCTTGTTTTCGCTTGTCATTCTATTCGCGTCCTCCCCCGACGAGGAGTCTTCATTCCCCATCCGGCAGGCTGACTCCTCCAGGGCATCGAGCAGCAGGACTGCATGCTCTCGCCATGTCTCTCCTCCGGCTTCTACTCTAGGATAGGATGGATCAGGTGCCATGGTTGCGACAGTCTTCGCAGGAGCAAGGAAGAAGTGGATCCCTGCTGCGTCGACGCCCTCACCATCCTCTTGCTCCAGCTCATCGATCATAGGCTCAGCGTCGCTGTCTTGCGATGCTTCGCTCGTCATGAAGTCTTGCAGGTGAGCTCGCAGCCGTAGCGCATGCAGCGAATGACGATGGCAGAACTTGGCCAGGTCGTCGCCATTGGACGTCGGGACCTCATTCGGCTTCAAGTCCGGCAGGATCTTGGCAAGGTTTCCGTTAGACTGTAGCTCACGAAGTCTGCCTATGAATCGCTGCAGATGCCTCCCATCTTCCGCTTCGCCACTTTCTTCCGATGAGGATGGAGCTTTCCTCTCATCTGTTTCCATGATCTTGCTGCCCTTGTTCCACTTGAACACTTCCAACCCCGCCCTAGCACGTTTGGTCGGTCCGCTCTCAGTGGGGCTTCTTGTGTTCGCGCTTTCATCGTTCTTCTCGACCTTCACTTTGATTTCATTCATCGTTAAGATACTCCTCAGAACGACCTAGAAACAGTACGATTCAGCGGCGTTTGATGTGGTATGCGCATGATCCATGCAAGAGACGCTACTTACAGTTTTCTTTGCATGTACACACAGCCTACGGACATCAACAGCAGAACCGCAAGACATCAATAGTCGTGAACATAATCAAATGAGTTTTCTTGATATCATTTCATTCTCTGCAAAATGCTCTGTTGGGGACCACCTCCTATCTTCAACCACGTATGCATTGCGACACGCCTTTCAAACCTTCCCCAGCCGCAAACAGCTGTTCCATTTCCTTACATCTCACGGTGACAACCTTTTCTGCTCATCTCACTTCTAGCACGCTCATCCTCTCCTCACAGCCTCCTCCTTGTCCTCCCCTCCTCCTCTCCTCTTAATCCTCTGCATGGCCTCTCCCGGCGCAATGGCGAGATCAATTTTCGTCGGGCCAACCGGTGGCGGGGATGAGGGCCTGATGAGGGCAAGGACGAGGGCGGGGATGAGGGCCAAGCACAGGGACACAAGGAAGGCTGATACAAGGTACCCACATGGCAGCGCGAGGGCTCACGATCGTCGTTCTGATCCTCTCGCTATGCTCGCCCTCCTGGTGCTTCTCTTCCCTGCTGACTCGCATCTTTCAGCTCCGAAGCTCTCCTTCCTCCAGACCCTCTCCTCCTCCTCGTTGTGTCAGCATGAAGGTTGCGAGTGACGCCATGGTGTTGCGCGGGCAGAGGGTCTTGGTAACAGGCGCCGGGAGAGGGATAGGACGGGCGATTGCTCTGATATGTGCAGAGCAGGGAGCAAAGGTGATGCATCAATATCTTTGATCTGCTGCCTTCCTGTCCTTCAGTCCCATGACCCACTTTGCTGTTCGATCCTCGTTTTTCCTTCTGCCCCGATGGTCTTCCTGTGCTGACCCTGCTGTCGTCATAGGTAGCGCTCATGTCTCGCACAGAGGAGGAGCTCAAGGCGGTAGCTGAGGAGGTGAAGAAGGCGCATGGCGAGGAGGCGCTTTACCTTCCCGTCGATGTCACCAACGAGGGGCAAGTGGAACGAGCTGTGCAGAGCGTGGTGGAGAAGTGGGGGGGGATCGACATTCTGGTGAACAATGCAGGAGCCGCCTGCGAGAAGAAACCAGCGTACGAGCAGTCGGTGGAGGAGTTCCGTAAGCTGTTGGAGATCAACACTGTGTCTGTGCTGTCAGTGACCAAGTCGGTCATCAACCAATCGATGCTGCCGAATAAGAAGGGAAAGATAATTAACATCTCCTCTCGAGCCGGGAAGGTCGGGTACAAGAACATGCTCCCATACTGTAAGTCATGGCGGGGAGGGTGGATGTGTGTGGAAGTTTGATAGCGATAGCGAGTGTGCGTGTGGATGTGATGTGATGTGATGTGATGTTATGTGATGTGATGTGATGTGATGTGATGTGATGTGATGTGATGTGATATGATGTGATGTGCCAAAATCTGAAAGCCGCCTTGCAGGTTCTTCCAAGTTTGCGCTCGAAGGTCTCACGGCCGCTCTGGCTCAGGTGAAGTTGAGAGGGCGGGTGGAAGATGCTGAGGAGACGTCAGGATGTCAAGGACCTGGGAATCACCGTCAACTCAATCTCCCCTGGGATGGTGGACACTAAGAGTTTCCCCAAGGCTGAAGGGCAGGCAGGGGTAAGATTTGATGACGGAGAGGAGGAGGAGAGGAGGGAAAGGGGAAAGGAGGAGAGGAAGAGGGAAAGGGGGAAGAGGGATATGGAGAGGAGAAGAAACAAAAAAAGTGGTTGAGGAGGAGAAATTGGAGAAATTTGTGTAGAAAGAGCTATAGTGAAGGCTGAGGAGTTTTCTGAGGCTTTTCGATGCAGGTCAGGACAGCGGAGAGCATCCGAGATGGCCTACTTGCTCTGGTATGGCTTATCAAAGTTTAACGCCAGTGTGATCATGGCGGCAGATGCTGAGTGATGAGACTGGGAAGTATATTCACGTCGACGAGTTCGATGCCGCAGTCGAGAAAGTACGAGGAACTACAAGAGGACAGTCTTCTGACATGTCACAGGGCGACATGAAGAAGGCATTCAAGAACATTCATGAAGATGCTTTCCAGGTCTGATCGACAAGGGCAGTCGCCAGTTAGTCAAGGAACTTGCAGCTTGCGATGTGGCTGTCGTTTATAGATGAAACGATTTGCGAACTGAGATCGAGTCAAAATGCATCTGTTGTTGTAACCCTCAAGACATCTAAAAGAAGTTGGCAAACATGAAGTGATCGGCCTCTCTTGTCTGCGGCCTTGGTGGGTCTTGTCGTTCTTCTCCTCTTCCCGTCCGCGTCTTCCTCTCCTTGTGCTGTCCCGCTTTTTCCCTCGACTGCTTCCCTCCCTCTACTTCCGCGCTCTTTCTCGTTCCTCCCTTGCTCTGCTCTTCCCCGTCTCCCTTGTGCTTCTCTTTCTCACTTTTCCCTTTCCCTTCTCCTTTTCCCCACCGACTGGACAGCGGCGTCAGCGACGGAGTCCAGCTTGCGATAGCCTGCGATGCTGAGGGTGTAGAGGAGGATGAACGGGGAGGGGGAGGGAGGGAGGGGAGAGAAACGTCAGCAGAGGTCTCGCAGGAAAGGCTCTCGTCTACTTGCTCGGGGCCTCGGAGGCTTCATCCAGGCAGCTGCCACAGGAAGCTTCCCTGCTCCTGCTCCCTCCCCTTGTCTGCCCTGCGTTGGTCGCTCCCTCCTCCCGAATCGATCCTCCGCCTGCAGTCGTTTGACATATGGGAGGAAGAGCGACAGAAAACCTTGTCGGGCTTGGGAGGGGCGGATCGAGGCCGTGGAGGAGGAGCAGAGCGAGGACGAGGACGAGGACGAGGAAGAGGACGAGGAGCAAACGAGGAAGGGGAACCAGGGCGTACAGGCCCTGCATGCTTCCCCGTCCTCTTGCTTGTCTTCTTCGCCTCTTCGAGAGGAGCGAAGATAACTCCACTGACACTGAGGCAACGAGGAAGGAGAAGCTTGCGGAGGACAAGCTCGAGAGCTTCTGATGGGGAGGAGGGGGCAGTGAGAGAGCTTGAGGAGAGGAAGTAGAGGAAAGACAGTTTGAGGAGGAGGAGGAGGAAATGAGGGAGGGAGATTTTGTCCAGATTCGAAGAGCTCGTCTGCCTCTCCTCTTGTCTTCTCCTTTTCTTCTCCTTCCTTGCATCTTGAAGACGATGAACAAGCGAAAGATACTCTACTCTTGTCATATCCCCTTGTCCGCCACTGCTTGTCTGCTGGTAAAGGGGTTGTTACATCGCTCACACAAACAACTTCTGATATCTTCACAAGCGCTCTCATTCTGTCATCACAAGAATGTGCATCAACGCTTCAATCATCATATTGAAAAACATTCAGACAACAAAACTCTTTACTATTGCCATCTGTTCATCTTCACAGCCATCACTTTTCTTATCTCTCCCTCCATCATCCCCAGCATTTGAAAACTTTCATATTCCTTTCTCTGACCTGCATCATCGACTTGACTTCCATCTCCGAGAAGTACAACTCAAGCAGACTCGCAATGGTCCCACATGGAAGTCTCCCTGCTCGGGAGTTCCAGCCAAGACTGTGACAGAAGAAAAGTCAGCTCGCAATCGCTTGGCGTGATTGAGTGGGAAACAAGCAATGAGTCGTCAAGGTCCGATGTAGAAGGAAAGGAAGAAAACGGTCACCCTGATTTCAGACACAAGTTTGAGTCTTTCTCGTCGAAGGCCTTCAAGACGCTGTCGTCTGAAACAACCTCCTGCTGATCACAGTTATCGTATCGTTGACTTGTAGACTAGTGTCGCACTACTCTCCCACCTCTTCCTCTTCCAGAGCTCTTTCCACAACCTCTGGTTGCGGTGCAAACACGTGCTCTCTTATCTTCTTGTCGTCCAGCCCGCCCCCGCCAGAGGTAAAGCCGCACTCCCTCGCCATGTCGAGCTGACAGTTGTCATGTCATCTCGCAAGAGTTCCAACGAGCAAGTTACAAAATCTTGCTGGGTGAGGTAGTCTTTCTCTCTCACAAGCTGGGCGGTTGAGACGATGTCATCGTCGATGATGCGCTTCATGTGCTTGTGCTTGCTGTAGAAGTGAAAGATCTTGAGGTGACGTCAGCAAGACAGTCGGAGCAACAAGAACTGAGTTGTGGACCTGATATAGCACTTTGAAGTTTCTCGTGAGGACAGCTTGTAGGTAGATCGCCTCCTCAGCCCTGCTAGGATTCGATTCTTGGCTCCTCTGATCAACAAGAAAACTCTAAGTTATACAGAGCAATGAGATAGCAGCGAAGACATGATGCTTATCCACGACATCGGCTATGACATTGGAGATCTTGAAATCATTGTTTGATGAGAATTTCACGATAGAAACCTCATCTTCCTGCAGAAGAATCATTTCAATCATGTATGATATTTCAAGCAGATCACTTCTTCGTAGAATGGTTCATTGACCATGAAATCTTTGTTATTGTCTTCAAACATCACGACAGAGGTCTGTTTCTCTCCGACAGGTGACTTTCTTTCGGCAGTCTATTGAAAAAGACATCTCCTGTTACATCTCCATTGATTGCACCTCGATCAAACACCTTCATGTTCTTCTTGCGTGTCGAGGCAAGTTGCTCCATCATGGACATGTTTGTCTTTCAAAGTAATCAGTGCCAGCAATCACAATCAACTCTACTTGCCAGCAGCTGTTGTTTCTGCTCGTCTGCTTCAGTCTGCACTTGCCGTTTCACCCTCATCTCCATCTCCTGCACGTCAAAAACTCTTTCAGTCTCGTTCTTCCCCTTCTCTTCATTTCACTTTCCTCGGATATCCTTGCTTCCTCCAAGAAGAAGGTCTTGAGCGCTGCCTCCAACCGCCTGACTGCTTTCTCAGCAGTGACCTTCTCCTGCAAACTGCTCTCCAACTTGACGCAGCTCAGTCATTTCCGGCAACACTGTCAGCGCTGGGTTGCTCTGCGTTACCTCTTGCTTCTTGGCTTCCACAGCTTCGATAAGATGCTTCATATCAGCATCATCGAACTTCTCATCTTCTTCAACTTCAAGTTGTCTTGTCTCCTCTTGCACTTCTCTCTCGAGCTCATCAATCTTGTTGCGCCAGGTCACCTCCTGCGGAACGTAAGTGATCCACAATCACGGTCCATTCACATCGTCAACGCAGGAGAGGTACAAAGTCAACGACGAGACAACGAACTCAACTCCGCAATCTCCAACTCGAACGCGTATACCTCATCTGTGAGCTTGTCTCGCAGACGATGGAAATACTCAAGTTGGCATCTTGCTCCCTCGACCTGCTCCTTCATCTCTTCGTTGGCTTGCTTGTTCATCCTCATCCTCTCGAGATGCTCTTGCAACTTCTCCGTCAACATTTCTCGTCGCTCCCACGCCTCCATCATGTCGCTCCTGACTTGTTGCCACTCGTCCTGGGACCTCTAGTCATTGATCAAGGCTGAGCAACATGATGATGATCAGGCAAAGTGTGCAAGGGTGAACAAGCAGGTGGAAGGGATTCGTCATCAACAACAGTGACCCTGATAGCAACTCACTCTGGCTGTCTTCAAGGTTGCATCTTCCACCTCCCCAATATCATGCTCAACATCCCACTTCGACATCATCTCCATCATCTCATCCCTCGTCTCTGCCCTGCTCAGCCTAGGCAACCAAACTTTCCCCCTCTGTCTCTCAGCCCATTCTCCCGTCATCCTGAAGGTCGACGCCCTTCGGTTCTTGTTCGGAGATGTCGAGGGCTCATCATCTTTCCCCTTGGCATTCAAATCCTCATCGACCAGTTGGCTGAGGGTGAGAGATCGAACGAGACCTCTCTCTGCTACAAGATGCTGCTGCTTCTCTACCTTCTCTCTTCGCCAGCCTGTCGCCCTCCTCCGCTCCCCCGCCATCATCTTTTTCCTTACTCCCTCTCCCCGCAGTTCTTCTGAAGGAGATTGCGGGCGATCGTTCTCTCGAAGAACTTGAGCGATCGTATCGTCTGCACGTCATGGCATCAACAGGTGTGCAAAAACTTTCTCCTCCTTCTCCTCCTTTCCTCGCTCCCACCTGTGAGAAGGTCAAGAAGAGGTTCAAGCTTCAAGTTTCCCTCGTCATTGCGGTCAACCCGCTCCATCGCTCTCTCCCATACAGTCATGGCATCCCTCCTACACCAGTGTCAGCCATCGCAAGTCGAAGCCCTCCTCTCGCGTCTCCTCGTCTCCCTCCTCACTGAAGGCGAAGATCTTGAACTTGAGCTCTGATGACTTGCTTAAAGCTTTTCAAGCTGATGTACAATGCTCCTCCACTGCTCTCCTCACTGCTCTCGGCCAGCGCCCGGATGAGGCTCTTCTGCTTCAGAGCATGACCATTCGATTGACCCACTGGCGATGCTGCACGATCGGCAATGGGGGTTGCAGACACCCATTCCCCCGCTACCTCCACCTGCGGGCACCATTACCCAGCAGCTTACACCGCCACCATCACCTTGCAGAGTTGGCCGATAAACTTGGAAGCTGCGGCTCCCCCCCCATGCCTCAGCTCAACCCCACGAACTACATCGCGATGCGCGATGGACAACTGAGAGAAAGGAATCTCTCCCTCGTTGGGAACCCATCGCTCAAGCCTCTTCCTCTTGGAGAGAAAGTGCTGGACCCTCAGGTCAAGATCACTGAACGACGAAGACATGTATCCTCGTCAGCTCGGTCGACGTGGAGCTTCGAAGATTCTCATGTCAGGAAAGAACAATCTCGTGGAACAAGAGCTCACTGTCTCAGGCTGCGGGTGTTTTCGAGTTCAGCACTTGTCTTCCTTCGAGTGCTGCCCCGTTGCCAGCATAGTCTTCTTCCCTCCAAGACAACCACTGGGCCGTTGTCCCTTCATCACTGACTTCAGATGCCCTTCCAAGGCTTGCAGCGAGCCCCTGGCATTTCTAGCAATGAGAGTCAAAACCAGTCAAAACCCTCTTGCTGAGAGTTCAACTGCCGCTCGATTTATCGGAGTCACACCGACGGTGACTGACAGACTCAGTGATAGCACATTGATCGGACCGCCGTGCAGTGCCTCGGATCAGCCGGGGGCCCCGGGCCCGGTAATCCGAGTCGTGCCGGGCCCGGGGGGGCGACCGTACCGTGTACCTTACTTACTCTTTACTCAAACTTCCGTTAAGTTCAACTAGTACGCCGTCGGAAGTACTCGGGCGACGCCGCCGGCCGGCGACGCCGAGCCCCGCGCCGGCGGCCACCCTGACCCGCACGCCGCAGCCTGAGGACCTTGAGGACAGTGTCAGGGTCAAGCCTCCTCGACTCTCCTGATTGTCCTCGTACTGATTTTTAACTTAACTTTGAGTAAAGAGAGCCGAGGGCCGGCCGTGCGGGTCAATTGGCGGCAACTTAACTTTCAACGGAGTAAAGAGGCGGCAACCGTGAACGGCTGGGATCACTGAGCCTCAGGCTGGGTCAACGCTGCGCCCGAGTCGCTTTATCCGGGCCTACGATCATAAAGATCTCGTCCTCATGACGAGTCAGACCGTCATGAGTCCGAGACTCGAGAGTTTCATCATGCTTCAAGTTCGTCTCTTGGTTTCATGTGATATGGCCAAGTTCATCATTATGTCGTAGAGCTCTACACCATTCTTCCGTGGATCACAATCATCATCATCATCTCTATCTCTTCTGAGAGCGGCTGAATCATCACCAGAGTCCCTAGACACGTGAGCTGGTGTGAATGTAAGCACCCTTTCTTTACATAAAGATCATAGACAACTATTTTTCGAGATCACTCACCAACGGAGCGATTTCTGATAGTACTACAATGATTCAGCAATACTTCTATATCTTGCTGGTCACTAGACAGAGGTCGACTGGCTGAGCATTCGAGAAAAATATAACGGGATCCATATCAGTGGCATCCATGTACCACTCCAGCCATGCCGTATCCCAGCAGACGGGAACTGGTGCTTCTCCTCTCCTCTGGCCATCAGTGCGCAATTCCTCCTTGTCCTTGTACTCGCGTTGTCTTGTCTGGGAGCTCGTGCCCTTGGTGTACGGCCAGCGCTGGATCCCGAGCCTCCGGCACGCAGCCTTGAAGCTCGTCAGGCACACCCCGAGCTGCTCGGCTGCCTCCTCTTGCCGGACGTGGAAGAGGCCCTGCAGAAGCTGAGCGTCGAGGGTGACCTCTCGCTGGAGGGTTGCTGGGGAGGTGTGTTTTCTTGGGCGGGGGACGATCTTGACCTCATCGAGCTGCATGTTGTATGCTGCAAGTGGATTGGGGTAGGAAGGGCAGAGATTGATTATCGGATGAAACAGGAAGTGAGGAATTCAAGGGAGGTGGGGGGCAGTTGTAGGGGGAAGAGCGGGGGAGCTCTCTGGAAAGAAGGGGAGCAAAACTGGAGGACTGTTTTGACGGTGTGTTATCAGCGAAAAGAAATAAAGAGCCTTTTATGAAGCGTTGAGAGTAGAGCATTTTCAGCCTTACAGGGCACGTCGCATCGGGTCATCAGTCATCAGAGTCGTCAGATCCGGGACGGGCCCAGTCGCAACTTTCCAAGTTCCGATTCACTGCACTGAGATCGCCGTGCGGCAGCGGAACTCAGATAGAACAGTGGTCCAATAAGGGTAAGAACCAGGGCTCGGACATTCCAAACATTCCAATCAAAGCTTGAAAGTCAGCGAGGCAGCTCTCATGCGCGGCATGCTTGGTTGGATCCTAGTAGCATCGGATTTCGTGTTACAACAAATTTCAACATGTATGAGATTTAAAGAAGATACAACGAGCTGCGGATGCGGCAAAACTCTTAAGTCTACCAAAAGTTCTTAGGTTCCGGGAGCTCGTGAACAACTTGCCAGTTGCCTCGGAATCAGTGGCATCAAGGTAGTTGAATCGGCCGCAGAAGCACACCTGGCATACCCGAGTCTTTTTTTACATCAAGTAATCATACATGTCATTTCTAGCTTTGTGTAAAGGTGTCTGCAAGTAAGCATCATTGATGGCAAAGTTCCAAACCACTGGATCTGAGTCCGTCGCTTCCATGTACCAAGCCAGCCACGCCGTGTCCCCGTGCCCCAGTACCGCCTCATCCTCCCTCCATCCCTCACCTCCTCCCTCTCTCACAGCAGCTTCTGGCAAGCTCTCCGCGTCTGCATGGTCATGTTCTCCGTGTCGTGGTGCTGAGACCTGGCCGAGCAACCAACCTGGTGTCCCTGCGCCTGAGCTCGATCTGTTGGCGTGAGACCAGTAGGCGCTGCTGTCTGCGAGTGGATCCGACGAGGCTGATGAAGGCGATGGCGATGATGCTGACTCTGAGCCTGTCTGAGACTCGCGGGATGGTACGCCGGGTCTGCCGTTGCGCTGACTCATGCCCTTGGTGTACGGCCAGCGCTGGATCCCGAGCCTCCGGCACGCAGCCTTGAAGCTCGTCAGGCACACCCCGAGCTGCTCGGCTGCCTCCTCTTGCCGGACGTGGAAGAGGCCCTGCAGAAGCTGAGCGTCGAGGGTGACCTCTCGCTGGAGGGTTGCTGGGGAGGTGTGTTTTCTTGGGCGGGGGACGATCTTGACCTCATCGAGCTGCATGTTGAAGTTGGATAACGAGCGGAGTGGTGAGCAGTAGAAAATCAGTTGTAGTGATAGGGAATGCAGAAGCAAATCTTGAAGAGAGGTTGGAGAGAGACGTGGGTCTGCCGCGTGGAAGCAGGAACTTGGCAGCGCGGGATGAGCTTTCGATGGAGAAGTGCGGAAGAATTGGATTTTGGGTGTAGGGGAAAGTGAAACGTTTCAGTTTTGGCGGTCCGGATGCCACGAGGAGACGACAAGATGCAGAGCACAGTTTTTTGAGTACCCCTTCTTTTCTATGTAAATCAAGGGGTCATCAAGCGGTACGACATGTCAACCGGTAAGCTGACTTTTACTATTGGTAGATTTTCAGAATTGGATGTAGTAAAACCCTCTTGCTTACAGTCATCTTGGCCGTGACGTCAATCTAGAGAATTCTGCAATGGAAGGTCATCACGGACTCCAGGATAGCGCCATGAGCTCGGATATGGGCCAGCAAACACTTTACTCAAAGTTAAGTTAAAAATCAGTACGAGGCTAATCAGGAGATTGGCCATACGGCAAACCTTATCCGGCGCATTGCTGTCCTCCAAACTTAACTGATACCTTCACTTAACTGCGCGCAGGCGCCATGCCAGGGATGTCGCCGTGGCCGCCGCCGAAGGAATGAGACGCATACCGGAACGCACCCGCGATGATGGCAGCGAAGGACAGGGAGGCCTTGAGCTGACGAAAGCTCCTGGACCGGATGCGTTTGCAAGTCGGATCACCTGAGACATCTTGCGAGGCCGAGAGACCATCCAGCGCTGCCGTTTCCTTGTTCACCGAGCGATCCGCCAGCCACCACAGAAAGAGCAACGCATCATCCTGCAAGAATCCATCAGTGCTGGCGATGATGGGAAGGAAGGCCTTTGGCGGGACTTGCTGAGCATATGCATTACGATGCCCTCGGATCTTCCACTGTGCTGCTGCTTGCAGTTTTCTCCGAGCCTGGTCGGGGATCCCATCATTGTCAAAAACATGTGACATGCTGAAGTCCAGGATTAAGCCATACCATTGGACTCCAGTAGCCTGCAATTGCAGAAGTTCAAAATCCCCTGCGTGATGATCTTCAAGGCCATGTTGGGAAACGTTCTGCCTGGTGCCGGGAACGCATTGCACGTGGACGCGGCATCTAAATCCTGAATCTTTGATGAGGGTACTGAGGACGGCATTGCATTTCTCATGCGCATCAGTGAATAACGGGCTGCGGTGCCTGCAGGTTGCCATGTGTGTGGTCCCCCCAGGGTGACAGAGAAGATCGTGGCATTTATCGCAGTGCGGCGAGAAGTCAATCGGCAGTCCATGAAGAAATTTGTCAGCGGCAGCCACCAAGCTGATGGCCATAGTCAGTCACTTATCGGATTCCCGCGTATGCCACCGTTGGGTTTGGCATTCAGTGCAGCCCTGCCCGGCGGGTTGTGCGGAGGTTGGTTCTCTGACTGTGCAACACTGCAGACAATGATCAAATAGTCGAAAGAACCTCGTCAACCCCAGAGTAAAAATCACCCGGGTCAGTGAGCTTCGGAAATCAACTAGTCCCGTGGAATGCATTCATCCGAGTTTCACCGTCACGGGGAGGCATCATTACAAAGCATTACTCGCCACATTCATTCAATCTGAACCGAGTCACAACCAATTACTGCACAAAAGTAGATTCCTCTTTACCCCTAAAACAACGTGATACTTATTTTGATGAAAACGCTCCATAAACACAAACACATCGGTGCTCCATTGGACCGCGAAAATAACATGAACGAAGTGGATCTTCAAGAATCGGGCCTTCGAATATAACTGGATCTGAGTCCGTCGCTTCCATGTACCAAGCCAGCCACGCCGTGTCCCCGTGCCCCAGTACCGCCTCATCCTCCCTCCATCCCTCACCTCCTCCCTCTCTCACAGCAGCTTCTGGCAAGCTCTCCGCGTCTGCATGGTCATGTTCTCCGTGTCGTGGTGCTGAGACCTGGCCGAGCAACCAACCTGGTGTCCCTGCGCCTGAGCTCGATCTGTTGGCGTGAGACCAGTAGGCGCTGCTGTCTGCGAGTGGATCCGACGAGGCTGATGAAGGCGATGGCGATGATGCTGACTCTGAGCCTGTCTGAGACTCGCGGGATGGTACGCCGGGTCTGCCGTTGCGCTGACTCATGCCCTTGGTGTACGGCCAGCGCTGGATCCCGAGCCTCCGGCACGCAGCCTTGAAGCTCGTCAGGCACACCCCGAGCTGCTCGGCTGCCTCCTCTTGCCGGACGTGGAAGAGGCCCTGCAGAAGCTGAGCGTCGAGGGTGACCTCTCGCTGGAGGGTTGCTGGGGAGGTGTGTTTTCTTGGGCGGGGGACGATCTTGACCTCATCGAGCTGCATGTTGTTATCTGTGGATGTACGTGATGCGTTCTGTCTGTGAGATTGGATGTAGGATTGGTTAAGTCGAATCAGGGGAAAGATATTGGGGAAACAATCAATCGATGAAGTGGGGAAAGAGGAAAGAATGGGACCTTAACATAGGGGGCTGATAACAAGGGAAGGAAAAACCGCATCGTTCCAGAAAAATACTTTTGGTCCGGATGCCACTCTGACTCAGCAGATAGACAGGTCCCACTCACCCACCTAACTCAGTACCAGCTGTGCAACGAGAAATAGGTGGGTAGTCCAAGGGCCGACGGAATTGAGGGGTATTTTACCACAGGGTGGAAGACCTTTACTCCTGGCATCCAGAGCTTTCTCTGACTGGGTAACTTACAGTAACTTACCTCCGGTGATACCGTGACGTTCAATCAGTGCCAGATTCCGCTGTGCGCGCCCGGCCAGGCTAGCCTCGGAGCGCGGTGGCGCTCTGACGGCCGAAGTTTACTCAAAGTTAAGTTAAAGATCTCAGTTCGAGAACAAGCCTCAGTGTCAGTGAATCCGAGGCCGGCGAGTCGGAGACTCTCAGCCTGGCCCGGTGAGTCGACTACCGTGAGTCCGGCGGCGGCGAGGCCCTGAGGCTCCGGGGCGGCCTGGGAGGCTTGACCCGGGGCAGCCTGCTCTGTCGCACAGCCTGCCACTGCCACTGCTGCCGCCGGCGGCCCCCGGGCCCACTGCCAGCGCTGGACCGTACGGTACCCCGTTTGAAAATTCCCGGAGTCCGGCGCCGCGGGCCGGGCCCCGCGCGGCACCACTGGCATCACCCGCCGGGCCCGGGCGCCGCCCGCGGCCCGGCCGGCCGCCGGGCAGCGCGCCGCCGCACTGAGTGCCGCACGCGGCGCTGGCGCCAGTGCGGCATGTGATGTACGGTGCAACTGAGTGACCCGGCGCCGCGGCGCCGCGCGCCACCAACTGAGGCCCGAGACGCACTCAGCGGCCGCTGATACCAGAATCGCGGCCCCGGGGCGAGCGGCTGAGTGCTGAGCCGCCGCCGCGGCCGGCGGCCGGGTAGATGATGCCCCCGGGCCCTGCCGATGCCCGGCCCGGCTAAGAGTGGGGATGATGTCCCAATAATCGGCATGGTCGGATTGAAGTGAACGAGCGGGCGAGGGGTAAGAGCGTGTGCTGGAGATGCTGAAGGCTGAGGAGGAGGATCATGGGTGAGTGCGTTGATACTCTTGACCTTGTCTATCCAGCACGAAGTGAGTACAAGTAAGCAAGAACTGTCGAAATCCAATCATGCATGAGAGATTGGCAGGTGATAGGAAGCGCACCATGGAGTGGAAGGATGGAATTGCAGGGGCCATTTCTGGTACTCGAATGTCTGACAACATTGAATAGTATTCAGTGATTTGTTCGTACAGGAGTTGCGACTCGATGTTGTGTAGCTCCTTTGGATGTCATCAAAATCCGCTTGCAGCTACAGGTGGGACGCTATCTCAGCTGGGACCTCCTTGATTGACTTGTGCTTGTGATAGACCAATTGCCAAGGCTCTAGCAGAGATTATCGAGGGTTTCTAGGGACATTTCAGGTGATTTCGATACAGTAAAAGCCTCGAATGCTTACAGAGTGTTGGGACAGACGATAGTTCGCAGGGAAGGAGTAAGTCAATTGCGAGACATCCGGGCGGGATGTTCACATGTGTGCAAGGTTGTTGCACTGTGGAAGGGCAATCTCGCTGCAGAGTTCCTGTGGGGAGGGTACATGGGCACACAGTTTCTGGCCTATAGAAGCTTACAGGTCAGTAGGGAGCGGCTTTATTCTAGGGCATGTGAAGAAGTTGAGTCAGAATGCTATTCATCATCATACTTTCATGCATGGAGGAGGGAGAAACAATGAACATGCATCTCAGGCACAAGATACGAGGCTGAATGATGGCAGCAAGGTATTCAGTGTTTCTGGTTCATTCAGTCTGCGCTGATGTTCCTGTCATTGCCCCTGACAAGGTTTTGCGTGATTTGATCTGCGGTGGACTTGCTGGAGGGTTTGCGACCATGACAACGTTACTTTGACTGAAGCTGTGCACACTGTCTTACTCTGTAATTAGGTACCCTTTTGATCTCGTGAGAACTCGGCTTGCAGCCCAGACAGAACCCAAGGCACATGCCTTGATGCGTTATGATTGTGCTAAGCTTTAGCAGATTTACCATGGCGTCTTGGATGCATTTTATCGCATTTTAATCAGTGAGCGAATGCGAGGATTTTACCGGGGTAATACCTTAGCCTTGCCACTTCTGTAGTACTTTGTGACGTGTTGATGTCAGGATTGGCTCCTAGTCTTATTCAAGTCATGCCATACATGGGGATTCAAGTGCTTCCTATCCCTAAACGTTGATTTCCTTTTCTCACTGTTGCCGGCTAGTTCTCCATCTACGAGGCTCTCAAGCGTTTCATCTCCACTCAAACCAAGGAAGGATCGCAAGGTGACACTCATGGGAGGCTCATTGGTGTCGCGAAGTTAATTTCTACTAGGATGGAAGGAGAGCATGTTCTGCGGGTATAATGCGTCGGATGTTGGCCAGCCAATGGACGCCTCACACCACACTTGCAACAGATGCGTCGCCGGGAGCATCTCGAAAATTTCTACCCTCCCTCTGGACGTTACGAAGAAACGGATGCAGGCAACAGGATCATCCCTCTCACGATAGACTCAATTGTCACAGGTCATGGGCACGACCATGCTTGCAGCTTCACAGGGTCGAAAGATATCTTCTATGCGAGAGGTTGTACGAGGTATCTTGCGCGACGAAGGATGGCAAGGGTTCTTCCGTGGTGGTCTCCCCAGGTCCTCGTGCTTGGGCTGATGTAAAGCACGTGACATGATCTTGTAAACAGCGTGATGAAAACAGCGCTATCATCGGGGTTGTCATTCGCGATCTACGAGCTCATGCTCAAGATCCTTTGACAAAGTTGAGGCAAGTCATCACTATAAATCCTACAGTGCTCAGAGACAACCAGGACTGCTTGTGAGCAGACGCATTTGATTAACATTAGAATCACACAAGAACGATCCCATCATGACATTCTTCTTAGTAAACACCGTAGCCATGCACATTGTACTGCAAACCAAGTCAGCCTTGGCAACGAAACACGAAAGTCTACGCACATTTGGCCAGCTAGACCAGTCCACAGGAGTCCATGTCGTGTGAGCCTGTGGGTTAAAGGAGCCAGAAGAAGGGTCGGACTCATAGGGATGGATGGTCACGGCTGGATTTCCTTCGCCCTGCAGGTAGGCGCCCCAGGGCTCGTCAGCCTTGTACCAGTTGCCGCCCATTGTGGTATCGAACCTGGAGGAGGAAGTCAGCAGGAGAAGACGAGTTCCACATCATGCGCTTACATGGAGTAGGGATCGTTCCTGCCTCCGTTGGGAGATGCGTACAGCATCGCGCCTCTGAAAAACGGGAGCATGATGGCTCTTCGTTCCGCCGAGCGAGTCCACACGCATCAAATGTATCCTTGGAGATATCAATGTTCTGCGGCCTTGAGCCAGACGGCCGTCCGACCGGGTGCCGGGCCCGGCCAGATCCGCCGGTGCCACTTTTTAACTTAACTTTGAGTAAATCAGCCTTGTGACTCCGTACCCCGGTGGGCCCGGGACTACTCCCGCAGGCGGATGGAATGTAGGGTAGGGTCCTAGAACTTTGGCAGCCGTTGGAATCGGATGCGACATGCCATGATGGCGAGCGCTGAGTGTGGCACTGAAAGGATGAGGCTCAGCGGCCGCTACTTGTCGGACTCTCGGAGGCTCAGTTGATGATCGCTGCCAGTGACCCCGATACTAATCCGATCTAGAGTCTGTCTTTGCCTTGTCATAGTACGTGCGGCTTGCGGTTAGCTGACTCTTAGAACTGATCACCGTCGGTGACGGAAGATCGGAAGATGATGATCATTGTGTGAAAGTCAGGCCAGTGTGAGCCTTGAGTGCCGTGAAGACGCCCCACCGTGCAGTCCATCAAGTTCCTGGCAACCGAAACATTCTGATTTGTTCTGATTGCTTCTGATTCAGTTGTTCAACTTCGGAAGTAGTTGCGGCGATGGACGTCCAAGACCGTCACTTCCCGGACAACAGGTTTGACTATCAACACTCCGAGAATGGTGAGACCTTTTTCTTCCACGCGATCGTTTTCTTCCACACTGTCAAGTTGTGCAAACATTCAAATCTTTCAGGTGGAGGAGCAAACACTGACGTCCACCAACATGCATCATCGAATCTCTTTGCATATCTCTTGCAGTGCAGGTTGTTGCCTTGTCATCGCTTCACCCAGTGACTGCTCTGCCCCACAGGAAAAGGTCGAGCTGGACCCCGAGCTTTCTGTGGCACAAGGTTTCGGTTGAGCCATGGCAGATTCCCCTGGACAAGTCTGTGCTGGACGAGGACGAGGAGGAGAGACATCGGGTTGAACGGGAGTTCGCGCAGAAGCATCATCCCTTGGGCAAGAAGGACCATGAGGTCGCTCGGCAGAAAGTCAAGGTCCCCAGACTTGCCTTGAGCAAACTGCCTCGCAACGCGGAGTGGACTTGCAATCCTGCATCGAAGCAGATCCTTCCTCCTTACCTGACGGCGAGGAGGCGATTGGTATCTGCGAGCACCCGCCCCAGGAGTGACAGGAAGGAGGGGTGAGGCGACCAGCGACCTATCTTGAGGCATTGCCCTGAAAGATGTCTTGTTCAGTTCCATGACTGCGCGGTTCTATGAATTGTCACGGGGAGTTGATGAAGATGTGCTCGTGGACTCATCGAACTTGTCTCATCACAAGTTCCGTCCGACCGAGTAAGCCCAGTGTTGCAGGCGACGTTGGCTGATATTCTTCTTCAGCTTCGCAGGAAAAAACCTCATGATGCATGAGAGTACATGGGAGTCTGGTAGCACAAGCCAGTCCGGTGACGCGAAGGGAAGGGCGTTGAAGAGAAGCCAGAAGGTAAACCAGTCGTTCATGTCTGTGAACGAGCTTCTGACTTGATGCAAGTGTTATGAAAAGTTGATGAGGGAGCTACAGATACTTGATAACCAATGATATCAATGAATGGACTGGGACGGGACACTGCGATCCTCTGATCACTGAGGGCATGCTAACAATGTACATGAACATCGCAGTGACTAGAGTACGGGCATCATCATTCTTCCTTGAATGACACTGCATGCATGCCCTGACACAACCAAGCTAGAAGATCCCTGCGTGTTGCTCATATTGCAGAAGAAGCAGACATGAACATTTCGCACCTCAATTCCTGCAATCATCTTTCCCCACAGCTCTCCTGTTCTCGCTGAGACTTGTGAGGAGAAGAGCTCATCCTGCGAACAAACCGTCAGATTGAGAGAGGAGGTGAGACTGAGTTGCCGCTACCTTGCCAAGCTTCTGCCTCCAGTAGGGTACAAGTGAGCACTGCGCAGAACCAGTGACAGGATCCTCGAAGATGCCCAGCTTCGGCGCAAAGAATCGGTAAACAAAGTCATAGTTTCCTGCACGAGTAAGAAAGAAAGATTTCAGCTGGCTATTTTATGAACCATTCGCGAACCTTCTTTGCTTCCAACAGCAGTTATAATGATGGCATCGCTTGGAAGAGAGGCTTGAAGAGCATGTTTCATGGCAAACACAAATATGCTCAATGCACATACCAATGTCCGCCATGTTTGGCTTGAACTCGAGTACAGTGTCTACGCTGTTGAAGAGCGAGAGAAAGTGAGAATACAAGAAGATCCACATCAATTCAAATATGATCAAATCAATGCGATAAATTCCATTTCAACGATCAGGACAAACAGACCAATAAACCAGAGAGGGGGTGGGGAGAGGGAGGGAGGGAGGGAGGGAGGGAGGGAGGGACAGGGAGAGCGAAATTCGACCTAGGAAACACCACAACAGCGTCTCTCAGCGGCTCTTCCCACAAAACCTGATAAGGGCTCAAAACGATGAGGAGGGAGGTAAAGGTTTACCTCAGCTATTGCAGGAACTCCTAACTTCTGCTCGAACAGCTGTTTTGAAGTCACCATGGTAGTGCACTCTATATAACGATCTTTACCTCCAAGAGATCCGGTCGTGCCTTGGGGTTGAAAACAGGGAAAATCTTGATGAACAAGCTTAATCTTATCCTCGAGTAATCATTTCTCTACCATTTCAATTTTCCCGTCAGCACCAGTGGATACCTTGAAATTCATTAGGCATCAATATGGTCAAAGTGATTACATCTTCACCTCGAGAACACCACTTCTTGTGTGAAAGAAGATCTTCTTGACATTTGGTTGCTTGTTGAATATGCTGTGCGCTGTTGCAAGTGTCGCATGCCCGCAGATGTCAACCTGATTGAGTACCACCATCATCTTCATCAGTGTCATCATTGTCATCATCAGGATAATCGTCATCGTCTTCACCCATCGTGATCACAATCATCGTAATTTTCTTCCTCATAACCCTCGCTATCCTCGTTTCCTCCTCCTCCCTCTTCTTCTCCGCTTCCTCCTCTTAGTCATGATCGTTCACCTCAACTTTAGGGGTAAACCAGCGAAGGTCGGCGACAAGTTCACTCTCAAGTTCGCACTTCCTCCTCTTCCAGAAAGCAGTTTCCTAAAGAGAAACCAGTTCGACAAGAGTGTAACAACTTGTGTGGGACTTTACCGACAAGTTGTTTTCTTCTGCCATCATCTGTATAACATTCTTTAAACCATCGCCAACCGTAACGAAAGCAAACCTGGAGAACACGGTCGGGAGGAAACGCGTCCTCAGAGATCTCGATAACTGCAGCAGGATTGCCCTTGAAGCAAGTGCGTGTGAAGGCATCCACCTGATGGCAAGGATGGTGAGCTTGACGTCCTCGCACCCACCCGCCCTCCCGCCACGACCATTTCTGTTTTCCCTCTGAGTGTTCCCATGGATAACCAACTACATCCCTCCAGCCATGTAATAGCGCTCAGCCAGGGCCATCATGTACGCAGGGAGCTCTTTAAGAGCTCCTCTTAGCCTCTCGCTCTCTCCCTCCTCACCTGCTCCAAGCTCACTCGTCGCCCTGACTCCATAGCTATCCTCACAAGCTCGCCGCCTGTCGGGCAGCCCGGGCCCGGACTACATCCGGCGGAACTCCGAGGGTGGGGGCGCAAAGTTTAGATATGTTAAGGGTGGGTGGTTTGCTTTAAGTGAAAGAGGGGTACCTGCTGTGTATTTGCATGACCAAGAGAGTCCAAGGGGTACCAGGATCGGGTGTAAAGAGGTGGGGTCCTATCCCCTTTTCGAGGCATGGTTTCATGGGGTAGGGTGGGAGAGAATGCTGTTGGACCCCTGAAGCCCCAACGAAGTGTTAAGGGTGTGACGTGTAGTTTGATTGGGAGGGGTACGGTGTTTTGTGTAGGGGTGTCTCAATATTCAAAACAGTTTGAAAGAGAGGGTGGGTGGGAAGGCGTATGGAGTGTTCGAAGATGGTGGGGGTGGGGGTTCATAGGTTATAAGGCGGATCCCGTAGAAGGTTCCTCGGAAGTGGCCGCGGCAATGGCAGCTAAGGTGAGGTTGAGCTATTAATGCGACAAATATGTCCCTACATTATCACTCCTGGCCGTGTAGAGAGCAATCTTGATGTTTTATATGCCACTCCTTCATCATCTCGCGAACATGCTTCTCATCGAACAGGATACTATGTGGCACTTGAAATTGTTTCAAGATGTGATTTAGCAAAATATTGTTGGAGAGAAATGTCTGGCCCTGACGCAGATTTTCTTCTTCAGATCTTCTCGCTCGCTCTTTTGGTTGTGTCTACTCAGGCTTATGCACCCACCTTCATGGGTACCAGGCTTCCGCTTCGCAAGGTGATGTGGTACGAAAATCCTATAGCATGGCTGAAATCACGAAAACTAGGCAAGCAATGCTGCTTCCTTGTCGATGAAGATTGAGCTTGCTCCTCTTCCTTACGACTACACTGCTCTTGAGCCCAAGATCGGCAAGCGCACCCTGGAGATCCACCATGACAAGCATCACGCCAAGTATGTCAACGTGGCAAACCAGATGATCGAGGGAACCGACATGGAGAAGGATGACTGCGCCACCATCGTCATGAAGTCCCACAAGGCCGGCAACCAGGGCCTCTTCAACAACGCTGCTCAGGTATTTCTCAATCAATCCTGATAGCTACCGTCCATGATTCGCGATGCCTCCTAGGCCTGGAACCACGATTTCTACTGGAAGTGCATGAAGCCAGGAGGCGGCGGCAAGCCAACTGGTGCCATCGCTGATCAGATCAACAAGGACTTTGGCTCTTATGACGAGTTCAAGAAGCAGGTAAATTTAGAGAGTTGCCGTTATCAACTACTTTGCCTCGTTGATGCGTGTTTTGTCTCCTTGCAGTTCGAGGTCGCCGGAAACACCGCTTTTGGATCTGGATGGGCTTGGCTCTCGTGGGATGGATCTAAGCTCGTAAGAGTGTCCGTGTTGATAAGACCAACGCTGAATGAGGTTTTCAGGTTGTTGACAAGACCATCGGAGCGGGCAACCCCATCACTGATGTACTGAAGGAGTTGGTTTGTATTCGAACTGATCCAAATGCAGGGAAAGAAGCCTCTCCTTACCATGGATGTGTGGGAGCATGCTTACTACTTGGACTACCAGAACATGCGGTATTCAATCTCGAATTATGTGATGTTGTCTGGAGTCTCATTTCGGTATGCAGCGCTACCTATTGCACCGATTTCCTTGACAGCCTGGTCAACTGGGACTTCGTCAACCAGAACTTTGCTAGTGCCAAGTAAATGTTATTGTTCAAGTAAACACGTTGCAATCATAGAAACATTCTTGACTCCCCGAGGCGGCACTTCGGAAATTCCGAAGTTCCCGGCTGCGGCCGGCCGCCTTTGGCCGCCGGTCCCGGTGGCTCGACCGGGGCGGGGCTGGGCCGCCGCTCGGGCCCCCGAGAGGTTGCCGTCACCTAGTCACCGGGGGCACCCGCCGCCGGCCCGCCTCCCGGAATGCCCCGGGCCGCGCCCGGCCGGGGCCGCGCGGCCTGCCTGCCCGGGCCGGCCGCCACTTTCCGAAGTTCAATCCGACGGCGATGTCCGATGATCGATACTGAGGCGGTGACCACAACAATGGATGACCAGAGTAGCCGCGGATCATGGCTGCATGAGTTGAGGGCGGGCTCCTGCAGCCAGGTGTCCCTACATAGAGTTGCGAGGGATGTAAGGAGAAGGAGGAACGATGAGGGCAGAGGATGCAGAGCAGCAGAGAGCGGGAAGGGAGAGATGAGTGTGGATAGGGGGTCGTTGAGATGTTGATGAAGGGGAAGCGGAAGAATGGTGATGAAAGGGACCGAGGCGGAAGGGCTGGAAGTGAGGGCAAAGAAAGGGGAGATGCAACCTGAAGATGAATTAATACATGCAAGGGGGGATGATAGCAATAGACGTAGACTAGAGAAGGGTTGGGACAAGAAGCCAAGGGAGGAAGAAGGCTGAATCAGAAGGAAAGGGCAAAAAGTTGAACGAGATAGGCAATGATGGTCTCAATTCCTTGGGAGCTTAGCAGAGGCATCGTTTGAGACGTTTAGTTTGGAATGAGGGGGGCAAAGATGTCGTTGACTTCGATCAAATCTTAAATCCACATGGACTCCTGTAGTCTTGCTATAGAGATCAGAGATGTTCGGGCGCCCTCGCATGGTGTAGCATGTTGGAGTTTGCTGTTTGTAATGGCCAGCATCAGCGTCGCTGACTCGTAAGACTATCAGAGCCATGGCAGGCATACTTCCAAGGGAGCCTCCTGTTCCTACGGACAATGACCCGATCGCATTGCTAAGAGTTCCATGCAACGTGACCAAGGTACCCAGGGAGCGCCGTTGCTATCCGGGGAGTGACTGCAGTCCTTTACAGGTAGCGGTTGCAGGAAACAGGAGAACGAAACGAGCGCTGATCGAGGCCGAGCTATCTTCCTCCTTGCGATCCAAGAACCATGAGGAGCTCGCCGTTAGAGCTTCTTGGTGCTGTTGACCCTCCTCACCCTGATCGTCTAGGTCGAGCTTGCGCTGGCCAGTCAAAGGCTGGAGGACCTTGACATCTTCAAGAAGGTTGCTTGCGAGGTTCGAGCGCTTCTCGTGCTAGTTGTATGTGTGACGAAGAGCCCAGGTTGACATCGACCCTGAAGGGGAGAAGGACGCCGTCATGGTCAGCGTCAAGGTATCGCCAGCAGACCCGGTCAGGGGCATCCAGCTCACTTGCTCGTCCAGCTGCAGGAGAAAGGAACACACACCCTATCCACCGGCACCTACATGCAAGGAGGTGAATGCCGTGCGATCGAGTCCTGACCATGACGACGGAGGTCGACAGGGGAGGGGAACGTTGAAGTCTCTTGGACCATGAGGAACATGTTGGGCAATGCAGAGAAGGTTCAGAGCAACCTTTCTGTCGGTCACAAGACGAGCAACAGCTTCCGGTGAGGAGGAGTCCCATGAACATTCTCTGCTGCTCCTTGTTGTCGCCTCCCTGCGCACCGGTCGCAGAATCTTGTCTGAGGTTGTTTTAGGCTCGAGGGTTCGCAGCCCTTGTTCTTTGGGAGCTCTGTGAAGATGAACGGAAGTATCTTCCAATCTGTTGCAAACCTGGTCAAGCACAGCTCATTTACGTGAGTGAGAGATGTGGGGGAAGGGATAGCGGGATTACTCCTCTCCCTCCCTCTACCGTTATCCCCTCACCCCTTTTCCTTCTTGCTCATCGGCATCCTTGTTCTCTTCTTCTTGCTTCTCCTTCTCCTCATGGCTTCCCATGCAGAGAGCGTCAGAGGGGCATCAGTTTCGGACTAGCTTCGATCCCTGACGGCGATGGGGAGCATGAAGTGACTGTTTCTCTGCTCCCGATCGTCATTCATCACGCCAGCAGATCTCGTACGAGGGAGCTTGGAGAACGGTCAAGTTTGAGAAGGGATCGCTAGTCTGCGATCCAAGCGAGGGAGGAGACTCGTTCAAGTCCTCCATCCGGTGAGGTCCTGAAGAGGGTGAGAAGGGTGAAATGGACGAAGGGAGGAGTGACAGTCGGGGAGGAGTGAGTAGGAGTTGTCTGTATGAGTTAGAGCAGAGGTTGACGTAGCAGGATGAGGAGAGGGGATGGAGGGTAGGGAGGTAAAGGGGGAGGAGTAGGAAGAGGAGGAAGAGGTGAGTAGTTGTGGAAAAATAAGAAGATGGAGTGTTGGTAGTCATAGCTGAAATACCGAGGAGGGTGCGAGGTTAAGGAAGAGCTTGATCTGAACGTTTTTCCAGGCACGTGTTCAACCATGACACAAGGGATGACACCAGGGTCCCATCAAGCGGTTTTCTGTTCCGTAGCACGTGCGAGGAGCAACATTGCTGTGCTCCTTGGGTGAACCTGAGGCAGGGCCGAGCTGGCCGGGATCGGAGGAGACGTCAAGTTCCTCAAGAATGTTGTTGACGTGCAGGCAAGAGATCGGGATTACAAGATGAGATGATATTTCTGATTGTTTCTGTACCTTCAGGCACACATTCCCACTGACCTTGGGGTCATCGTCTCCCTTGTGGGGTCTGTCGGCCTCTTGCAGGTCCTCATGTTCACCGTTGAAGCCTTGCTCCCTCCTCCTCCTCGGCCTCCTCGTTATCTCTCTACATCTTCCCTCCTACCTCCGCTTCCTCCTCCTTTCTTGATCTCTTTCCTCCTGGTTCCTCCTCCTCCTTCTCTCCTTACCTTTATCTCTTTCCAACTCTTCCCTCGTTGCCTCTACCCATCACCATCTCTTGTCCTTCTGGTTCACTTGCCCTTCTTTGTGTCGTCCCCAACTCTTCTCTTCCTCCTCTTGACTATCGCTTCCTATCCGTTCAGTCACTTGGAGGGACCTCCTCCCGTATCAACGATCGGTACTCTCTCCTCTCCTCGTTGCTCTCTTGACTGTTGCAGCTTCTTTGTTGGAGGCCCCCTCATGGTCCGAGGTTTTCGCACTAAAGGACTAGGCCCGAGAGCCTTGGGCTCCTCCTCCTCCTCCAGCGCTAAGGTTTGTTTCCTCCCTTCCTACCTGCTGTCCTTGCTCGACCCCTGATTCTCATACCTTGGGCATTCTTCGCTTTCCCTGCTGTTGCTCCCCCATCCTGCCCACCTCCTTTCCTCTCCTTCCTCCCATCTCCGCCTCCTATCCTTGTCAAGCAGAATCACACACGCTCTATCAGGGAGGGGATGCGTACTTCGCTGCCACAGGAGCCATCACATTTGACCTCCCCTCTCGTCTCATGCAGGTCCTCAGTACTGCTGCTGCTGCTGCTGCTGCTGCTGCTGCTTCTGCTTCTGAGTGAAAGAAGATGACGTTAATCTGTTTCAGGCTCTTGGCGTTCGCGGTCATGTCTTCTGCAGTACTGGAAACAACGTTGCGGTACTTCTCTTTCTACCCCACTTATCAGTCTTTCAATTTCCTATCATGTTTTGCCCCATACTTAAATTTTCCTTCTTACACTTTCCCCCCTGGTTCTATTTGCCCTGAGTCTTTTGCTACTTTCTTTTTATCATTGTCTCAACAGGTTGGAGGAGGACGGTCAGTCTACAAGCAGATTCCTTCCATGATCTCAGGGTCCGTGCAGCCATGCACCTCTCCTCTCCTCTCCTCTCCTCTCCTCTCCTCTTCTCGCCTCTTCCTTTTCTTGTTCCTTCTCCTCCCTCTCCTGGGCCCCTCCCCTGTCCTCTTCTCTCCTGTCCTCTCCGCCCTCGTCCTCTTACACTGGCGCAGCTACCGAGCCGTCGCAGGTGCAGGGCTCATCATCCCCATGCAGGTTGTCTACCCTCAAGGACTTCTACTGCTTTCACTTCTCTGCTCCTTGTCCTTCCCTCCTCCTTCCCTCCTTCTGCCCGTCCTGCTCATCGTTGTCCTTCCCTTGTCCTGCCCGTCCTGCCCGTCCTGCGAATCTTACTCCTGCCTGCGTTTCTCTTTCCTTTTTCTTGCTCCTCTTCCTAACGCTATGTTCTCATTTTCTCCTCTTCCTTCCCCAGCCTGAGGTTTTTGTTGCAGATAGGGCGGCTGGAGCTGAATTACTGCCGTCCTCTCCGTACGTTCCCTCAGCTGGTACTCAGCTGCTGGTCGCTTCCCTCAGCTGAGAGACATGCAGGGCGACAGACTTGCAAGATGGCAGATCGCTCTCGGGCTAGAGTACTGAGAAAGGACGGAGAGCGGAGGGGCAGAAGGAGGAAGGCGAGTAGAGGAGGAGGGCGGCGATCGGAAGATCAACAGGATTTTGTGAGGAGAGAGACGAGATTGGGTGAGCAAGAGTGAAGGGAGGAGGAGCGGAATGACAGGATAGTGGCACTGGGAGAGAGGAGAGAGAGGAGGGAGAGGGGAGGAGGAGGAGGAGGAGGAGGAGGAGAAGAACGTTTACAAGCATGAACCTTGCGAGTTGCTAGAGCATGTCGTTAGCCCGCACTGGAACTCTTGGATGCAGCCGTTGCGCTCGACCCTCCACTCGTCCTGATGGCTCCCTG